AACACACCACACCTCCTGGAGCCCCTAACCCAGGCTCAGACTGGTGGGAACAGTGAGAACACTGTTTCTCACCCTGACCTGGAACCCCAGAGTGGCTGGAGGGGTTGGCCATAGAGACCAGACCAAATAAAACAAGGGCATGTGTCCGCCTCGTATTGTGGCACTGCCACTTGGTCTTGTGAGAGCTGGTCTTCTACAAGACTTCTGTGGTAGCTCTAAAATCTGTCTCTCCCTCTTTCTCCTTCTCTTTTCTTGATCCCTCTGTTCCTCTTTCTCTGCTCCTTTCTTGATGCTTAGGGTAGTTTGGGGATGGAGGGATTGGATCTTGATTTAAGTGTTATTGGCTTACCGGACCTTGACTTCAGTGTTGTTGGATTAATAGTATGTGCTGCATCAGTATTGTGGTGGAACATTTTGTCTAGCTTGTGTGGTGTCCTTTTGAACTTTGGCCAAGTCCCCTTATTTACTCCTCAAAATTAATAAAGTAATTCCTTGGAAACAAGCCAGTAGCTTATTCTCTTGACTCTATTTTGAGGTATTAAAGAACCCTGTATCTATATGTTAAAGTAAAGCTCTTAGCCAGTCCCATGAGCCAGCAGCTCCCAGGGCTGGAGTTTTACACCAGTCCTAAAGCTATTCTGTTTGGGGGAATCTGTTGGAATCACTGGTGCAAATTCTCAAATTCCTTGTTGTACAGTTGTTCAGTTGAGTGTCTCTTGTCCAGCAGCCTGATTCCTGACTAAATCCAGAAGTAAGGCTTTGTATGTCTTTTCTGACAGAAGAGGATCTGTAAACTGGCTGAGATCATAGTCAGGTTCAGGAAGTAAGACAGCAGATACTGAAAAATAGAGCAGCTCTCAGCACATCAAAGCACAGAGATTTGTCTCAGAAGACTGTTGGCAATTTGTAAAATGTCAGGTTATTTCAGGTGCCTCACTGAAATGTGTAGCTATGTTGACAAGTCAATGCAGGTAAGAGCAGTTTGAGCCAGGAAAAAAAAAAAAAAAGTGATTTGGTAATCTAAATTGATATAAACACAAAATACAAGGGTGCCTTGTGCCAAGGAGTAGGGAAGAAGGAGATCAGGAAAAAACATAGCAACACAAGTTACCTTAATTGGATAAATGATTCCTAAATCTTCTTTTTCCTTTTTTCTTTTTTTTTTTTTTTTCCATTTTGCTGTATAAAAAAATGTTGATGCTTAATACACTGCTATAAACTGCCTGCTACGAGTTTTACTGACTGTTTTAGGTTATATTTATTGTAGGCCCCATGGAAAAAGTGAGAATCCTAGAAGAGTGACATGGTATTGCTTAATGCATAGATTATGGTGAGAAGAGTGGTCAAATGGTCTGGAGAACAGTGGTTGAATGGGCTGTATGCGGAACTCCAGCTATAAGGAGTGGTATCACTTTTAACTATGACTTTTAACAGTTAAGACATGAAGTTTCTGCCTTGAGTGGATATTATTCCTTTGGTTCCAAACAATTAGCACAGAAAGAGTTTGTCATGGTTTGTCATGGATTGTCATGGTTTAAACCCAGCTGGCAACCAAGCACCACACAACCACTTGCTCACTTCCCCACCAGCAGGATCTAGGAAAGAATAAGAAGGGTAAAATCTAGAAAACATATGGGTTGAGATACAGATAGTTTAATAGGGAAAGCAAAAGCTGTGCAGGCAAGCAAAGTAAAAACAAGGAATTAATTCACTGCTTCCCATGGGCAGGCAGGTATTCAGCCACCTCCAGGAAAGCAGGGATCCATCATGAGTAACAATTATTCAGGAAGGCAAACACCATAATTCCAAATGTCCTTGGCTTCTTCCGTCTTCCCCCAACTTTATGTACTGAGCATGGTGTCATATGGCATGGAATATCTCTTTGGTCAGTTTGGGTCACTTGTCCCAGCTGTGTCTTCTCCCAGCCTCCCATGCACCCCCAGCCTCCTCACCAGCATGGCAGTACAGAAAGCAGAAAAGGTCTTGACTCTGCTGTAAGTGCTGCTCAGCAATAACAAATGCATCTTTATATTACCAACACTGCTTTCAGCACAAATCCAAAACATAGCCCCGTACAAGCGACCATGAAGAAAATTAACTCTACACCAGACAAAACCAGCACTCAGAACAAAATCCAAGTTCTGCTTAACAGGGCACTGGTAGGATTCTCAGGAAACGAAAGATCTATTTTTCTACTGGTTCTCTGTTTAAGCTATCTTAAACTTAACTTAAACTCTTGAACTCCACAGAGGACAACTCTTCTTTCATCCTAATGTGTCCCAATTCAAATTCTTATCAGCCCCAACCCCAACTGACACCAGGAAGTTGTATCCTTTATAAACCATATCCATTACCCCTATGTTAACTGTGGGCTGAGCTTAGCCAAAGACCCCAAATCACACTCGAGATGGCAAAGCATTATGTGATGCCCAAATCTGCCTGTAGAAGCCCTTTTGCAACCCCCCCACAACAGAACTCTTCAGCTTTGTCTCTCTTCTAATCTTAACCCTGGCCAGGTATCCTTTAAGGTAGACCTTAAACATGGAAAACCCAAACTGTGGCACAGATGAAAAAGATCCAGGACAGAACTGATTTGGCAGCCCAAAACCTTCCCTTGGCAGCCTGCCACTTCACCTAGATCTCTAGGTTTTGTCTCTCTTTGAACCTTAGTGCTAGAAGACCTTTAACACCAGACAGACTGAAATGTGGCTCAGATAAAAAGGTTCCCAAAGAATTCCTTCTGTAGCTCAGATCTTCTCTCAGCAGCCCCACTTCAGCTAAACCCTTAGAAACTGTTCCTTCCTTGTCCTAAAAGTGCCCAAGGCCTTAACCCCAGACAAACCTAAACATGGCCCTGATTCAAGTCTTTGAGAGTAATTCTTCTGCAGAACTATCCCTAGCTAGTCCCTCTGCAGATCCACTACAACTAGAGCCCCAGTAATTGTCTCTCTTCTAAGTCTAAAATTGCCCAGAACACACTTCCTGCAGTCCAAACTCTCCCTTGGAAGCTTGTCTGCAGTGCCATGTCACCTAGACCTAGAGATTTTGTCTCTCTCTGAACTCTAAACCTACCTTTAACTCCTGCCATGTGCTTTGGCTAATAAATAGTCAAAAAGACCAAAATAAAAAATTCACAGGGAAGTTTCTTTGTGGCTGAACTTTGCCTTGCAGCCTTATTCCATGTACGACCCTAGGATTTGTCTCTCATAAATGTAATGCTAACCATAGCCATGGGCTGACCCTTAAGCACAGGTCCCATGCCACAGCCAAGGTTATTAAGTCCTTTTGCAGCCCAAAACTTCCCTTCCCAGTCCATTTGTAGCCCCACTTCATTGGGCCCCAGTGTTTTGTCTCTTTCTTATCCAGTAAGTCTATCTGTGAGTAGCCAGTCTTAGAGTGACAACCCCAGCTGTTGCCTGCTCTCAGATGAGCAAGCCTTCAAAGAAACTCAAAACTGAGCAAGACCTCATCTTACTCCTTCCCTCTCAAAGGGGAGAGCTTCAACAGCGTGTGCACATGTGTGTACCTGCTTACTGTTTCAGTACCTGCTCATGGCAAGAGCCCACTTCCAGTAATTGTCCTTCTCAAAAAGGAATCATGTTAAAAAAGACTTTATGGTGCTGGAGCATATCCAGAGAAGGGCAATAAGGATTGTAAAAGGTCTGGACAACGTATCTAATGGGTAACGGCCGAGAGAGCACAGTCTCAAGAAGAGGAGACTCGGGGGGACCTTATCACTCTATACAACCACATGAAAGGAGCTTGTGGTGAGGTGGGGGCAGGTCTCTGCCTGCAGTGAGAAGAGGAAATGGCCTTAAACTGAGGCAGAGGAGATTCAGAGGAGGTATTAGAAAATGTTTTTTACTGTTAGGGTGGTAAGGCGCTGGAATACGTTGCGCAAGGAAGCCATGGAGACACTATCCATGGAGATGTTCAAGGGATGATTGCTTCTGATGCTGGGTATTGGCTTAGTGGTTACAGAGACAGTGCTGGTGGGTGGCTGGGCTGAATGAACTTTAAAGTCTATTCCAGCCTTGACGATTCTGTGATTCTGTCTTCCGAACTTTTCAGGGTGCAGGCATTTCAGCCCGTTCGTGACCTCGGATTTATCCTAGCACACCTACAATCCTAACTGGTTTAGCCAGATACTATACTTTTGACACGCTCCTGAACAACAGCTCAATTACAGTCGGCCAGCTACTAGAGAAAGCAAATCACCCACGGCCACTCCCCCCTCGGCCTCCACCATGCCCGGCTGTACCCGCTACCCAGCGGCCTCTCCATGCCCGGCTGTACCCGCTACCCAGCGGCCTCCACCCCGCCCTGGCCAGGCCTACACCCCAGCGGCCTCCACCATGCCCGGCTGTACCCGCTACCCAGCGGCCTCCACCATGCCCGGCTGTACCCGCTACCCAGCGGCCTCTCCATGCCCGGCTGTACCCGCTACCCAGCGGCCTCCACCATGCCCGGCTGTACCCGCTACCCAGCGGCCTCCATGCCCGGCTGTACCTGCACCCGTGGCTGTACCATCCCGGCTACCTGCTACGCGGCCTCTCCATGCCCGGCTGTTCCCGCTACCCAGCCTGCCGCTCCTCCTGAGGGCGGAGCTGGCCCGCGCTGGCCCCGCCCGCGTAGCTCGCACATGCGCCCCGCGCTTCGCCCGGCCGGGCCTCTAGGGGGCGCGTGCCCGGGAGCCGTGGGGAAGTGGCGCGGGAACTGCCGGAAGAGGCCCTACCTTCCCCTCCCCTCCCCTCCCCTCCCCTCCCCTCCTCCTCCCCCTCCCCCTCCCCTCCCTCCCCTCCCTCCCCCTCCCCTCTCCCTCCCCTCCCCCTGCCTTCCCCTCCCCCTCCCTTCCCTCCCTCCCCTCCCCCCTCCCCTCCCTCCCCTCCCCTCCTCTTCCCTCCCCTCCCCTCCCTCTCCCTCCTCTCCTCCCTCCTCTTCTCTTCCCTCCTCTTCCTCTTCTCTTCCCTCCCCTCCCCTCCTCTTCCTTCCTCTTCCCTCCTCTTCCTCTTCCTTTCCCTTCCTTCTCTTCTCTTCTCTTCCTGCCGCTCCTCGGCCCTTCCGCTACATCCCGGGCGCTTCCGGGCTCCATCCGGGGGACGGGGTGACGCTCTGCCGCAGGAGCTGGTCTCCACTGCTGGCCCCGCTCAGTGCTGATCGCGGGCCCCGCCCGCGTGCCTCCGCCCGGACTTGGCGTGAGTATCCCATGGGGATCCCGTGTGGATGTGACAGGGAGAGAGGTGCCGAGGGTCGGTCCCGGGCCGCAGGGGTGGCGGTCGCCCCGGACACCTCCCGGCGGTGTCACTGGGGACTGTGGGGGATCCGTAGGCCGGGCTCCCTGCACGGGCACTTGGTGGCTCTGCGAGAACGCGCTGCTTTGGAAACGGTGCCCGCTGGGACAAACTTATGAAGCTCTTTCTGGAGAACCTGGTAGTTCCTGCCAGTGTAACCTCTGCTAGAAGGCACGGTAATAGTCGCTGTCGCTGCTGTGAGCAGGCGGTGTTGCTGCGCTGTTTTGGTGTGGGGAAGGTAACTCCTCCACTGCTTCTATTCCTCGTATTTACTGCTTCAAAGGCCAAATGGTGTTTCTTCTGCACCTTTTTGGATTCTTACGAACGGCCCTATTACTGGCTAATTGTATCCATAAACTGCTTATGTATCCTGAGGGAGCTGTGGAGAGTGCCTGGTCTGTTAAGAGAGGAACGAGGCGTTTTAAGGGTTGTTTTGTCTCCTAAAAATGGAAAAGTTTAGACAACACATAAATAATCACTCAGATTAAGCGTAAATGTCAAGTGACTTTGTTCTCATGAAGTTTGGTTGGTTCGTTTGGCAGAATTGAAAGCGAACACCCAAATAATAACTTACATTAGTACATAATGCTTTCCCTCACCCACCCCTCCAAAGAGGGGGGGAGGGGGGAAAGAGGAAGAACTGTGACAACATTAATCCTTATACTTTTTTCATGGAGCTATTGCAGCAATGCCTATGTATGTACTACAGGGTTTTCACTCGTGTGGGTTGTCATCACAGGAAGTAAGGAACAAAGTCAAGCCCAAGCACATAAATTCCTTGTTACTCATTTTCCTATGCTCTGTGCTAATGCTACCTGCAGTGACAGTCAAAGCTGTCCCGGGAAGTTGAACATAGCCAGTTTTGGCAGAATGAATTCTAAGTTTAAAAGGGAGTGAACCTATGTTTTTTATCACAAAGGCCATTCAGTAAAGTACTATATGTATGATATTCTTAAAGCATGAATAGATTATTTGCAATTCCTGTCATAATTTGGCTGCTTTTTTATGTGTTGTGTCATGAAAAAAATATAGGTTGTGATCAGCTGCATCTTCATGTTCTTACGATGTAGTCAAGTATTTCTTCCCATATACTGTGAATCTTATTGTGGAATGTTTGATTATGAAACATGTTCCACTGTAATGTGTTGTTTTTCCTTGAGATGAACACTCTTACGCTTTGTGACATGTAATTTTTCAAAAATTAAATTTAATATGGAGGGGAGCAAATAAAAATCCACTTTTAAACATAAATAAAGTAAGTAGTAATTGTGAAACTTGAGAGTGTACAGTATTTTTGTTTAGTTTCTTGTCCTGAAAAGCAATAAAAGCTAGCCTGCAATCACAATTCTCTGAAGCAATTCCTGGAAGTGTATTCTAGATTACTTGAATTTTTAAACCAAGAGAATAAATGGTAACTAGTATTTCTTTTTGCCTAATTTTAATGCCATTTTTTCCTTTTTTTTTTTTTTTAATGTAGGTGAAAGGATACATGTTCACTTCAAGTAGAAAGGAGCATGTTCCCAAATTTTTCCAACTTGGGTCATCCACCCTTCCCGTCAACGCATCAGCAACAGAGTAATTTGTCCAATATACTTCCCATAAATATACCTCCTACTCTTTTTTCTCACCAGCAAACTGTTGTTCCTCCGCTGAATTTTCGCACTGCAGTGTAAGTACAGTAAGATTTGATAGGCAAGATTGGGGTTGAAAGAACTGTTTCTGTTTATGGAGGATGGTTTTTAACATTAAACTGCATTGAACTTCAAAATTAGGAAGATGTCACCTGTAAAACAGAGCTGTATAATTTCTGTTGGTGACCTGCAAGTCTTAGCACTATGCATAGTGCATGAAATGCTGTTGCACTGACTGTTAATCCACAGTTCAGTTTTAAAGGGCTTCAATTGTATTTGTTTGTTGGGATGAACAGGGAGGAAATGCGAAGGGGAAGAAACATCTATTCTTGGGTCTGTATTTATAGATGCTGTAGTGTTCTTTAGGCTTTTGAATTTAACAGTGCCTTACTTTAATTTCTTTGCTAACTCCTTTGTACAAATGTGCTGTCAAGAATGACAATTTTCTGTTTTTTAATGAAATACATATCATATACTGAAATATGTTTTCATTTTGAATAAAAAAGAAAGACTTATTGCTTCTAAGAGATAAAATGACAGGACTTGTAGAGTTTAGTTTTCATTTAATAATAACTACCAACTAATAAAAAACATCTTATCTTATGAATAATAGTTATGGACTGTAGTCTTTCTAGAGCTCTTTTGAGTGGGAACCTTGCAGCTACTCCAATTGTTACTTCGACTGCTACACTGCAACCAATGACTTATGGAAATGTCAGTCCAGTGTCTACATCAGGTGCCCTCAAGTCATTTCAAGGAAGAAAGTAAGTTCTTTGTGTGTGTATGACTAACAATGGTTTTAATATACCCGTGGTGAAATTCATCTAGTATCAATTACTTAGGCAACTTGAGTTATGGTAGAAATTGCAATACTGAGTACTTTTTTTTATGAAACAGGTCATGTGAAGCATTCATGTTTTTGAGAGTCTTGGTACTAAAAAGTGACTTCCTATACCTAGGTTTTCTCTTCCAACAGCTGTAGCCTTGCAGAACTGTGATTTAAGTGGGTTTTTTTAATGCTACAATAGATTGTAATCTGTGTGTAGTTGGCTATAAACAGATGTGTGTCAGCAAATGTTCTTTTCCTGTTAAAGAGTGCACCCTAAAGGTTTTATGGGAATTGTCATGTTTTTCATGACACATTACATGTTTTTCCTGATTTTCTTAATTATATGATGCTTTATTTTTCAAATACAAAATGTTAAATTCAAGTGTATACATAAGGGTTCAGATGTAGTAGTTGGTACATGTTTGTAATAATTCTGTGAATCATCTGAGAGGGAAGAAAGTTTATGTTACCTGTCTTCAGAACTATTTCTTGTATGCTATTTCTCTTTCAGATCTAACAGATGAAAAAATAAGTACAATATGTTATTAAGTTATAGCTGAGTATGTTACTAGACCATGAACTAAGGAAGTTTCTGTTTTCATGCTGCATACATCTTTTCCTCTTGAACAGTCTGTTTTATGCAAGGCTGTGCCGTGTTGAGAGATATGCAGCCAGCTTAACCAAACCTGCCATTTGGGTTTAATTGGTTAGTGCAGACACATGCCTTAAAGCTTAATCAGTTCAGTTCTAGGGTAACTGCACTTCTGCAGTTGAGTGGTCTCTTTTTCCATTGCAGGTTTGTTTCTCATAATATCTAAGATTGGCATGCCTGTTCTGTAGAATACTTGCTTTTAATGAAGTAGGTATGTCATTAGATGTTGGTTTTTGAACTTTTTAGAAACTGTCTTTTAATCATATGTTGAAATTTGCAAACTAGTGGAATTACACTCTCTCTCTCTCTCAATCTCTCTCCTCCCCACCCCGCCTCCCTGTAGGAGACAAAATGAACAAAGTGTTTCATATAATGTCAAACGGCAGCGGATTGATTCACAGAATTCTGACACAACTGTAGTTAACCAAGGAGTGCCTTTAGCAGAGGAACGTAGACACTCCTTCCCAGGACCAATTTCAATTCAGTCACCACCGTTCCTCGCTCGTGACTCACCAGCTTTAGCTAGATGTGTCCCTCCTCTGCGAGATACTTTGTTTCCAGACCCTGCAGAAGCCAGGCTCCCTCTGGCCAAAGATGAGGTAGTAACTTTCTGTGCTTATGCTTTCTTCTGCCTTACTAGGCAGAATCCAGAGGTGCTGTTGGAGACCGCAAAAATTTGTGCAAGGGTTTTTGACAGTGTTACAGGGTCTCTTATTGCTGAGCTGTCTTTAGAAGAAATATCAATAAATGTGTCTGCTGCTATAGTTCTGTGTAACCTCTTATGTGGGCTTGGGTTTGAACATTTTTGTGGGGGGTAGGGAGAGTTAGGGTGTGGGTTTTACTTGTGTTGTTTGGTTTCCATACTTATGTCAGGAAACCTATATGTCTGCTCCAGAAAGTAAAAATTGGAGGAATGGTCCATTTTTCACATGATATGAGGGGACAGAGAATCCTGATTTATAAAAAGACAAACTCCGTGGTAATATGAGAGACGTGCATTCTGAATAAATACAGTTTGGGGCCTGTAAAGATGTCCTCTACCTCTTTTCAAGAGGACGTAAAAGTTATGGTTGTAGCTTTTCTATAATAATAAAAGAGAATGCCTTCTTTAGATGGACAGTGTAGCTTCAAACTTTTCTTGTTTTAAATAAATACTAAAAACCTATGTGGCTAATCAGTCTTGATACTTTATTTGCATCCACATAAGAGAGGCTTTTTTTTTTTAGTATAAACGTGCCTGCTTAGTGTAGCATGTAGCAGTATTGTGAAAGGAAAACAGTTAATACCTCCTTCCAGCAAAGATCTGACTACTTCTTTGATAGTTTGTGTGGGATAAAAAAAGAAAACTAATTTAAATTGGGTTTTTTTAATAATTTTTTCACCCTATTACTGGTAGGCAAACTGTTGACATTAAAGTCAGCAGAAGGAGTCTCTAATCTTTCACTACTAATTTCTTGAGAGGCTGCTGATACTGATGACGCAAAAATTTTTTTCCTTTGGTAGACATTTTATAAAAAATTGAATGAATTTTAATTTAAGAACTTAGCAGAAGTGACTTTGAGGGTGGTAATATGAAATTCAAGTACTGTAAAACTCTAGACAATAGAGAAGGTAATGTGAAATGATGCTGGTTTTTGCATTAAAAAAAATACCTTCAGTGTTTGTTTCTTGTAATTGCATCTCTGATGGGAAAGAATGTTCACTTCTCTGTATCTTTACTTTTTGGATGTGTGTGTCCAGTTAAGTCAACAGGTTTTGGAGTTGTTTCAAGCATGTCGGCAACAGGCCTCTGATTTGGACAGAAAAGAACTCTGCAGAACAGAACTCCAGAGAGAAATTCAACTCATTTTTCCACGTAAGTTTTGAATTTGATTATTTAATACTAGTTTGAATGTTCTTCAGGTTCACGGTTTTTCCTTCCTCTCAAACTGTTACATGTCACATCGTGGTTATCTTCTGTTATTTTTCTATTACAGAGAGCAGACTTTATTTGGTTGGGTCTTCTCTGAATGGATTTGGCACTCGTAGCAGTGATGGTGATTTGTGCTTGGTGGTTAAAGAAGAACCAGTAAGTTATTTAAAACTATAGAGGTAAAACAAAGTCTGGCTTTATATGTGTGCTGTTAAAAGGCTGGATTCTGAAATGATAAACAAATGGTCAAATCCTTCTGATTTACTACTATATTTTTACATTCATAATAGCTATGAACTGTGGGCCCAGTAATGTTGCAGATATAAATTCAACCCTATAAACCTAATAAAACTTTAAAAAGTAAGATTTGCCTTCAATTTGTGAGTGAAAAAAATTACAGCAAAGCAGAAGTAAGTGTGTAGAATGAGGAGGAAAATTGTTTAGAGAACTCTAACTTATTCTAGATGCAGAAACAACTTTTAGTAAGTCCGTTTTTTATACCATTATTTTGATTCATAGCTACCTATTTTAATGAATAGGTGTAGGAAGGAATTTGGTAGGCAAAAATATCTTAAATACTTCTAGTGATAGAAAATGTTATGAGTGGAATTTTGCTTGAGAGAAAGGATGTAACAGAAAAGAAATCTAAATAGACCATAATCTTGAAAGAATTGAAGCATCATTTAAACAGAAGGAGAGCACATTTTTGTATAAGTGGGGCTAGATTTTCACCTAGTTTGTGAATTTTGAATATTTGGTAATTATTTTGAATAATAAATATAGATTGTTCTGTCTGGCATTTGCCATGGTAAATTTATATCTAGGATGTAGAATGTGTTGATGTAAATGTTCATGTCTTACTCAGAGAATTAATCTTATGTTAAAAGCAAAGCATGCTTACTTGGAACAGTTAGATGAGAGATATCAACTTATTTCTTTAATTTTAATATCATATTTCAGGTGAATCAGAAGACTGAAGCAAGACGTATACTCAGCTTAGTCCAAAAACTCTTCAGTACTAAACTTTGTAAGTTCCTGGCTACAGTGAGGTGGTAAGATTATTGGCAATTCTGGAAGAAGTATTGATGCATAATTGCAACTGTTGTATGTGATTGCATGTTGTCTAGCTTCTAATCACAGTACTGTTTGAAGCAAAGCTAGGAGTATTTAGTAATGTTACTTGGTGCTGGTGATGGTAAATACGAAAACATAATGGTTTTCTTGAAAACTAGTGAACTTCAGTAATAGGAAATATCTCAAATAAATTTTTAATTGTGGAACACAATGAGAAGGGAGTAGATTTCTGTTTGGGAAACCTCTGTTAGTGAACCTTTACTCCTCTTTTAGATTTCAGTGCTTTCCTGGAAAAATGCTCTTTAAGAATTTGTAAAATAAGATATTACTCACAGTAGACCGTATAGAATTGATTTTCTGGGCAGGGAGGCCTTGATAGGTGTGAAAAAATTACCTTAGGTGCCTAATGAAGCAATCACTAAATGTTGATAGTACCAGCACATACAGATAAAACAGATTAATTTGTTGTTTTTCCAAACTGTAATTTAGACTCCCTTCAGATGAAAAATTCACACAGGTAGTTCTTAATTTAAGTGTGAAAGCCTCCTACTTTAGAGAGGCTTTTGTATCATCCTTTGAATTGTAAAAGATCCAGACATTTACTGACTTTATCACCCTGCTTCTCAAACTTGTGATACCTTCTTTAATGCCAACTTGTACGGATGTTCTGAACAATCCTGCAGTGCTAAAAGGAACAAACCATAAATTTAAGTGCAGTCTTCAAAATTTCTTCATTGGCAAGTAAGCACACGCAGATTTTAAGAGACCACTTGGAAGAGATATTTGATAGATCCTTTGCAGAATAGGCATCTGATATTTAATGCTTATTGCTGTTGTATATTGATATTTGCATAAGGAGTCCAAAACTTAATCTGGGTTTTCCTGGAGTGCAAAACTTTCCAGTGCTTCACACAAGAGAATCGAAATAAACATAGTTTGTCCAAACATCAAAGCTAACAAATTATGTGCCAAGATGTAAGAAAAACAACAAGAGGAAGAAAGATAAGATGTTACTTAAGTTCTTGTTCTGGTTTTATGAAAGAGTTAAAGGACAAAAACAAATAAGGAGGAGATTTGGAACATAGGTAAAGTTCAAGAGCTTTTTTAACCTTTTTCCAGATAATTTCAGGTTTTTTTACCTGTACCTCTCATAGCATCTTCCTCTTTGTTGTGCGATGTTCCTGTATATTCCAAAATAAGGGCAGCTAGAGATGTGATTCTTTGTTTATTTCCCCTTAATTCCATGATTACCAAATGAAAAAGCATTCCAAGTGCTGATTAGATCAGCCTCTTTCACCATTTGTGTTAGGTATATCAACATCAGAACTTTAAGGCCTATCTCTTATCCTTTATATACAGTTAAATGTGGTTGTTAGATTAGTATTTCCTTCTAAGAGGTTTGGGAAGTGGATTCAAAATTTGGGTAAGCTCAATCTTATTTCAGTTTCAGGCTTGCAAAAGGTAACAAGTTTGAGCAAGGCATTTTAGCCCATGAGAGCAGAGTCTCTTAGAGCAGTGGCTTTTCTGTGTTGTCATTCTGCATCTAGAATAACAACTGAAATGAAAATGTATTCTGGTTTTGAATAGTCTAATCACAGAGAACAGTAGGAAAAGGCTTTTGGTGTTTATTCACTGTTTTTGTGGGACTTGTTATATATTATGTTTCTCCTAATGCAGAGACGTGGGGATAGCAGATATGTCATCCATTTCTAAGATTAGCTAAGTGCATGTAAATTCTTGATTTATTTGTTCAGATACCTGCACATACATTTTTTTATGGTATTGGCTAACATTCCCAGGAATGTACGCTCAAGTCAATGTCTTTAGAAATGTGAAACATTTATTTGGAGTGATAACTGAAGAGATTATAATCCAAACCACTGAGAGTAAATCTCAGACTGAGTACTCTCTTCAGATTCATCTGTGCAGGATTCATTTGAAAATCAACTTGGCGGTATTGGGTTGACTGGTGTTTACTATCTGCGTAAATAACAATGAGTTCTTTTTCTCTTGGATTTTCAAATTGGGTCATTAGTGTTGAGACTGGGGTATCTGAGTGGAATCTGCCTAATGGTTGTCTAGTAGGAAATGTGCAACAGCTGTGATAAGCAGGGGACTTTGAAGGACTATGCAGTTAGGTGAGTGAATTCAAAAAAATCAGCAGTTCATTCATCCTGTGCTGGATTGTACCTTCCTAGATTCGTCATGAATGTGATCAGACTTTTGTGTTGCCTGGTTTCTCCTTCAATAGTATAACCCAGTGAATGAGGCCACACTACATGTCCAGGATGTCAAAGATCTTTTTGGCGTATACTGTGTTTGGGCTTAATGTTTTGTCCAATTCCTAATCTTCTATTCTGTAAAAGAAAAGAGAGAATTTAGCTGTTTAGTCTGAAATTGTACATGAATAAGTTATTTATGAATCAGTGCTTAGTCTTCTTTGAAGCCATTATATTTTTTTTTGCTAAGCTGAAATGGTATTCATGACTTTTTCACAGACATGCCCAAAACTGCAGAGCAGCCATGTAGATTTCTTTATATGTATTTTGGTGTAGCCTCTCTGGTCAAAGCTTTCAAGGTCACCTAGTCAGTTTGCTTAGGCACTTATTCAACCTATATGTATTTCAGAATTCCGCATTCTGTATTTGTGACTGTTTCTTCCCTTTTATGTATAACAATCTCAGATACAATACAGACCCTGCTAACAGCGTCATTGTTCTGAGCCAAGAAAGAGGATACCAGCAGGAAGTTACTGCCTTCTGACTTCCTCCTTGAAACAGATTGGGATTACGCTTTGGGATGTATCTCTTCTTCTTAACCAACTAATTTGGCACAAGCATCCATCAAGTGTTGTGGGGCATTTGAGACAGGAGTGTGTTTGGAAGTGGATTGCCACTAAAATGAGTTCAGTTAACCTCTGAAGAGCACTTGGAAAGGGTCATAGTAAAGAAAGGTGAATTGCTATGGCATGCAGACAGATATGCACCCTTGTGTCCCATGTGCAAATGCATTGGGAATCTTTGTCCTAAGTTTGGTAGTGAAAGGGAAGTAGGCAGAGAGCTCTGCGTGCTTTAGAACATCACTTTAAGGATGCTGGAGGAGGGATGCTTGGATGTGTCTGAAGGCAAAGCTGGAAAGAGGGGATGCTTGTGTGAATTCTACTGAATTTTACATTCAGTGAACGTGAACTGAAGTTCTTAAAGATTCTTCCTTTAACATTAATAAGTCAGTAAGATTGTTTTACTCTGAATGCCGGTCTGTATGTTACTTAGGCATGTACAATGCATTAAAATCTAGAGAAAGGATTGCCTCAGGTCAAATGTGTCTTGAACATGTGTATCCATAAAACAGTTTCAGAAATCTCAAGAAAAAAAAGTGATGTTTGTTTTTCTTGAGTACTGCACAGCAGCATTTCACCAAATCTGAATTTGTCATCCAAAAGCAGTGGAGATGATGCTGGTTAATCAAGGTGGCTTTCCAAACTAACAGAAATACCATTTCACCTTTTTTGGGAGGGAAAAATATCAGATTTTATTTAAGGTTACATTTAATCCATATTACTTCCAGCTGTGTCATACTTATTTATACTAATTTGAGGTTAATTTGTAGAACCAATGGGAAAATATATGATGTTAGATATGGACAAATTCAAGTGGTCCTAGACTTTGCAACAGAAGAAATTACTAAAATTGTTCCTTTTGCGAAAATTTGTATCATGTAACCTACAGGCTCTACTTTTCTTTCTTCTCCATTACTTTCTTGGGTGCATTTTTCATTCAGGATTGTGGGCAACTACTAAACACAGGCTGAAGTATCATGAAGTATAGGGAAATCACGATAATATGACTGATAGAACAGTTTTGGGGAGCTGAGTGCGAAGGGTACATTAGGTGGCACTGAGAGAGTCTGGCAGAGTTTAGTATGTGTGGGTTTGGATGGTCTGGCATTGAGCCTACGTGTTGATACTGTGTGGATAATCATCTGAGGTACCATCCGGTGATTGTGAATTCATTGCATGTCCTATCACTATTAAAGAAAAAGGCAGTTACAGCTTATGCCATCTTTGATAGAAAGTGTTGTCCTGTTTTACAGGATAGCATTCTTGGTATGTAGTTTATTGTTGAGATGATAAAGTTTCTGTGGGTAAATAGTAGTAAATGAATAGTAAAGACAGCTATATTAATTTTTTGATCATTAAAATACATAATTCCAACTGTAAGCAAACTAGGCACAATTAAAAAGAATGCAGCTGATCAGTTGCTGAGGGTAGTGTTTCTACACTGTAGTGTTGAGCTTAAGTGTCTGCCCGTCCTGGATGGGCAGATATATGTTCTTGCTGTCTTATTTTTGAACATTTATTATAACTATTCAGGATTTCTATTGCAAGTATTGTTCCATGAAAGCATTTTAGAACTGTATTCCTTATGTTCAAATTTTTGGAATATATTTCCCGCAGCAAAATCTTCTACTCTAATGTTCTACTTCCTTCTCTAATGTTTAGAGTGGTTTTCTTTTCACCCACTCTCCTATATTTTTGCTGTGGTTGCTAAAGGTTACTTAGTTTAGCGTAACCCTTCTGAGGATATATTTGCTAAATTTAATAAGTTACTATTTGTGATAAATCAGTCAATATGACCCCACTTTAGAATATTTTATTAAGATCAGCATCTACACGAAACTTAATTGCATATTTTTCTCCCTTTCAGCAAGCTACATTGAGCGACCTCAGCTGATTAGAGCAAAAGTGCCAATAGTGAAATTCAGGGATAAAGTCAGGCAAGTATTCTGTTCAAAACAATTTTTTAGACTTTGGTATGAGGAAGTACTCCATATTTGTACTGTCCTTAGAAGTAATCCCACTGTCATGCCTGTTTATTTGTGTGGTGCCTTAGTTGTATTGCAGATTTGTTCAGCTAGCACGCAGTGGCAATCAGCTTACTTCCTTGATTGCCTGAAACACCTCTTGTGGTTGAAATGCTGTTTGGTTTCTGTGATGTGAATTAGAACCAGTACATCACATATTTCTGTGAGTTATTTGTACGTAGTGGACTACAGTTGACAGATAGTTTATGACAGAAATACAATGGTGGGAAGAAAACTGCTGTGAAAGATAATTTTGATTGTTGTGCAAACATAACTACTAAGCTACTTAAGGACTAATTCACAGTATTTACTATACAAACAACACTAAAATGAACTTCAGTTTATTGTGATGTTTTCTTGATTAAAAAGTTCTTGTTCATTTTAGAGAGTATATTCTGTCTTCTAGGGAGATATTCTGTGTTTACCAGTATAGTATTACATGTTGTATTCACACTATTAGGTAGTAATTTTATGGCTTTGTTTAGAAGTGGGAAGTAATTGGACAGAAGTGGATGTGTTATGTGTTATACGTTGTAGTATTCATTGTATCTTCATTATAAAGACATGAGAGGGATGTACTAGGACAGAGAATGATGTATTTTTATTATGTGTGATAAAAGTATCTAAGAGAGAAAAAAGGCATGCAAAGCACTGAAATATGTTAACAGTCTGAGTAATGTTTAAATATTCCTATGTTTATTGGTTTAGTTTTGTAAGATTGATGTGTATCAGCTTCATGTAGTAACATAGTTTCACTGGTTTTGTAAATCAGAACAACTGTTTTGTATCTACCTGTCTTACCCTGTCTATATGCATCTAAAATTTTGCAACCCTGTATCTGTCTCATGAAAACAAATGAGCCCACTTCTCCTCTCCTTCTAAAAGAGTATCACTTTTTTTAATCACCATATGCCTTTATCAGAGCAGGAACCTTGCCATGGTAAAACTAAGTCTGGTCGTGTTTACAATTTGAACTAATCTATATTGTCCATTTAAACTTTTCTTTCATCTAAGATTATATAACACTTGTAGGGATTCTCACTTTATGCTATTTTTCTTCATTTACACCTAGTCCCATATTTACTCTTGTGTAGTTGTCTACCTTATAAAAATTTGAATATTTTTTTTTCTAGTAACTTTCTTCCCTAACAGTACAGAAGGTTATTTCTCCCATGCTTTCTGAAAGTATTATACTTGTCAAGCTAAAATCTGGGCTCTGTGGCTTAGCTACATACAGCAATGCTAGTCTTTCCCATAATACATGAAATAGTAAAATCTTTTTGCAAATGCTGTGTAAGTTATGGGATTATAGCAAGAATTTTTTTCCACTTTAAAATCAGAAAATAAACTTTAAAAAGAAACCTTAAATATGGAGGTGATTGTATGTGAAGATTGAAGGCATTTATAATCCGTACTACAGTCACTTTCAAAAAATAGTAAGTAATGATAATTATATGCCTTACAGACATGATTTAAAGAACTCTTTTTTTCTACTAAAGCAAAATATAATCTTCTTACGATGGAAGCTGCACGTTATATTTTTGCAGAGTAAAAACCAATGCTGTTTGCCATCTGGTTTCCCTTGTTGCTTTTTTCGAAGAGAGGAGCAGCAGGGAGTGGCATGACTTTGGGTTGGTTTTTTTGTTGTTGTTTTTTGTTTTGTTTTGTTTTTCTTTTTTTTGGTGTTTGGTTTTGTTTAATTTCTCTCTTTACAGTTATCTTTCTCTTATATAACCTGTCTTCTCCATCCATGTGTTGTCATTTTATTTAAATATCTGTCTCTTTCCAATCACTTATCGGCTTCTGTTTTTTGTAGGCTCATACATACACATACACCCACAGTCATTCATTTTTTCACAGAGGTCTTGAGAAATGCATTGGATATTCTGTACCCAGGGCACTAGTCTTTTTTTTACCAAAACTGGAAACTAAACATAACAAGTTTCCTCTGAAAACCAGTTTTCTTGATGCCCAGCTGCTGGGAAAGGATGGTAAAATTCAGTGGGTGGTATCTCTGTATCTGGAGATGCACATTCTGATGTGTTACCAATGCCCCATACATACTGCTTAAATTTGCAGCTGTCAAGTGGTAGTTCAAGCTTGTTTATTTCCTGTACTGATATATACTATATTCTTAAAACATGTAAAAAGTCATGCTTGATGTTAATTCATGTTTAAAATTAATATTTTTATGCAGATAATGTTTTCATGTAGGTAAGGGTGAAAAAAACCCTCATCAGCATCAAAGTAATGTGTTTTACCCAGTTTAATGAATTTCATGTCCATGTTCCCCTCATGTAAGAAAAACTGAATGAATATTTGGGCAAACAAATAGTGACTGATACATAGATATATAAAATAGAAATAGCTGTACATAGCAGATAACTACTTCTTTGTCAACAGTAGGCTCTTTGTGTTGCAAATTAGTGTTGCTATGGCTTGAGTTTAATGTAGTTTCTTGAGTCTTGTGAGTAGTTAAGCTCCATATGCAGTATGAAATTCAAATTCGGGGATGGGATGTGCTGTAAGTAAAGCTTGTTAGTGCTTGTTTGGCTTGTTCTTATTTTCTCTTAAGAGAATCGAAGTTATCAAAAGTTTTTTATTGCAAAACATGCAACGTTAACTATAACTGGTTTTTGTTTCAAAGTGCTGATTATCTCTCACCATCATTAGACTCTTACCTTTCAAACTCTTCTTAATTCATATTATATCACGTAGTTCAAATCTAGTTGGGAGGAAGAGTCTAAATTTAGATCTACATGTATTCTTTGTGTAAAACAACAATTATATTTTTGTAACAATGGAATTCCAGTCTGTAAGCAATTCAGGTACTATAAACAAAACTGTAGAAATGACAGCATTTAAAACTCTGTTGAAGGTTTCTAGGATTTTATATTAAAATTACAATTCTGCATATCTGTCACTAAGTAGGTAATAAACATTCAGAAACTGAATACCATGATGCTTGATTTTTTTTTCTTCTTCCCAACAGCTATGTGGAGTTTGACTTGAACGTAAACAATGTTGTAGGGATAAGAAATACATTCCTTCTGAGAACCTATGCATTCAGTAAGTTTTTATTGTATTTTCTTATTTCTATAAATTTTTCTTTTTGAATTTTTATTTTGGCATTCAGTTTAATATGTTACTATATATATCATTACCTATTTAGCTGCATTAGTTAACTCTAAGTTCTTGTTACTTACTCTAAATATATGAGAAAATATATCAGCTAGGTATGTTTGTAATTGAATATTACAGTATTCAGAAGATAACAAAGATTCTTCATATTAAGGTCCACGTATCTACTACTATGGCTGCTTCAAGTATTCTGGGAATAACAAGGTCATTGTACTAATGGTTATCTAGTGATATTTCCTTACAGCCACTGACAGGCTGTGTGGCTGATAGCTCATTGTGTCTGTATGCTGTTAGAGTCTTTTCTTGGAAAATCCAAAATACTGCTTCAGTGTTTATACTAAGCCCAAATCTGTGTCCTCCAACAATGAGAATTCTTTTCCCTCCCTTCAATAAAAAATAACTTGGGGTCTGTCCTGGCAGCAAATTAATTCAGGGAAAATTAGTACAAGGAACTGGAGACAGCTTTGAAGTCAAATCTGACACTACTGTATTGAGTGATGTATCCAGTTTTGTCTTGCATGCAGATTTCCTGACATACCCATTTATAATGTTTCTGTGGATCTTATTACTCAAAAGACTGTTTTTAAATGCAACTATTTGGTTCTGATTTTTATAGGATGGTTAGCAGTTGTAGAATAACTAAGTAAATTCTATAAAATACTTGCAAAGGTAACCTTAGTATACAAGAAGTATGTTGATCAAGTAGGAACAAATGTTGATTAATTGCTGTGTAGTTAGATGTACTTTTTTTTGAGATGTACTTATTTTACTTGCAGTTGAGAATCGAGTTCGTCCATTAGTACTGGTTATTAAGAAGTGGGCAAGTTTTCATGAGATAAATGATGCCAGTCGTGGTACTTTAAGCAGCTACAGTCTTGTGCTGATGGTTTTGCACTATTTACAGAGTAAGTATTTTTTTCCATGTCGAAACTGCCTCTTTTAAGTTCATATTTTGTAGTTTTCCTGTTTAATAAAATCAAACAGTAATCATCTTCCACACAGAAAGATTTGAAAGTAAAGTGCATTTACTCTATTTCCTTAGTACTGCATTTGTCTTTAACAAGTGGACCTCTTCTCTGGAAACACGGTTACCAGCTTTAAAAGGTTTTAAAAAAATTAAATAAATGTAGCTGCAAAACACTATGTAACTATAAAATAAACTCAAGCACTAGTTAACAAAAATGCATGAGGACAGTAGCTTTAATCATGCGTGGCAGCTGGCATAACTCCCTAGAGAAGGGAAAAAAAGGTTCAGGTAATCCTTTTCATGCAAAACTGTGATCAGTCAGCTGTCTGGGGAGGATCAGAAGTCTACAAAGAGGAGCCTTTTACCTGTGCTTCATCAGCCTTTTCTGCAAAAAAAAACCCTGCCTGAGATGTGGGTCTGTACATGTATCTAGCACCATCTGTTTAGGTTCTGGTGTTTTATTCATGAAGATTTTAAAGGGTCTTTTTTTCCTGCTACATGCATGCAATTCTCTTGAAAGTAGCCTGTATCCTCAAACTTCTAATAGTGTTTTTGTTCATGTTACTGGAGAGGGAACAAACCAAAGGCTTTCATTTGCAATAAATGGTGACCCTGTCTTCACTAGGCAAATTCCTGTCCTGTATTACTTACTTAATTTCCATGTTCTTATACTCCTGTGGATGTCCCCATACACAAGTTTAGTGTGGCTTCATTTTATTTTATAGATACCTCAGTATCTTGTACATTAACTTTCTGCCAGGTAACAGGTCTAACTAACTTACACAGTAAGAAAATGGAACTTATATGTTAGTGATAAGTGGTAACTTTTCCCCTAAAGTCTGTCCTCTTAATAAACCATGCAGGCTCATATACAATATCTTGATTGCTTGTATTGCTTAGATTTTGTTGCCTGGAAATTATCCAAGATATTGCAGAACTATGAGCTCTTGCATATTTCTAAAAACCTGCAAATAAAATAAGAATATAATTAAAGAAGCTGTGATCATTGTCTTAGCATACCTGGTAGGTAGTATATTATACTCTATGAAGATATTCCAAGCATATTCTGAGAATTCTGCTGTTCTGATTTTTAGTCCCTGTGGAAAAAGGATTCTGTAACATCTCATCCCCTATGAGACCCTGTTGAAGTGTGAACTAAGTCCCAAGTCCTGTGTACTGAATTTAATTATTATTCTCCCTAATGAACAATGTAGACCGGTTGTTTAAAAAAAACATGCTAAAGAGATGATGTTAAAGCTTTAGTCTGAGGAGTGCTCTAGCAATTTGGTAGCTGCTCTAAGGCTTGAGCGGCATTGTCTGTATTTTTGGATTTTGGTCTGTCATCTAACCTGGGTGATAAGTTTTCTCTTTATTTTTTATGTTGTGCAAGTGATGCTCTCCCAATCCATGATTTTCGTGAAAATGACAAACATTTAATTCATTTTGGGTTTGTATCGTTAATGACTGCGTGATCATTATAACATTTGGTAGACCACCTAACAATATTAGACTGTATTTATGTATTTTGTGGAGATTTTGCTAGCAATACCTAGTGTGTTCGACATTTTTCCTTTAGGTGACTTTTTGGAGGTTCGGTATGTAATATTTTGCAGCTGAAAAACACATGCATTTGCAGTATCTGTAGACTTATGCTGTGATGGAATTGTATTAGAAGTAGGGGGGGAAAAAAGGCTCTCTAATTTTTCCTTTAGGGAATCTAGGTGATTTTCTTATAGCCATGAATTAATATAAATTTGAGCTACTGTAGAATTTTTCATGCCTTCTACATATAGTAATATCTTAATAACAGCCTCCTTTAGCTGAATGAACTTCTTATAGTACTATATAGTGGGAAATACACTAATAGAAATGTCTGCTGAATAACTTCTATTTTAAAAAATGCCTGAAAGTGAAGTTCTTGATAGATGTTTTTAAGATAAAATTTCAACCTAACCCTGTGGTGTAGTTGATATGATAATGCTTCCTGTGAATTACATGAATCACAGTAACTTTAAACTTTTCTTTTTTATAGCCCTACCTGAACCCATCCTTCCATCCCTCCAGAAAAATTACCCAGTAAGTGTTTCTTATGGTTTTACTACATAATGTATGTGTATGACCCTGCTTATCTAAATGTATCAATTCTTAACTTTATAATGGATTGAGTTGAGCACAGTCTATAAATCTGGTCATTGATCTGCTAAACATAAGTGTGAAAGAGGTTATTTGCTAATTTCTGTAAGGAAAATTCTGTTATGTATGAGAATATTTCACATACAGTTAGAAACAAGTGCTAATGAAAACCGCTGACCTAATTCCCTTTATGCTGGCCTGAAAATATCCCTGTGCCAGTTGTAACTTTCTGATTCCTATTTTTAATATATTAAGTAGTGTTTTTTTCAGCCAACTGTGGTGTTACAGAATTCCATACCCTCCCACAGCTGTTGAGTTGCCTGATATTTCTGTGTGCAGAGTGAGTGATAAACATCTACTATGCAAACTTTTGTGACATCACAAAATTTGACTTCAAGAAAACACCTTTTTGGGACTTTGCTATTGTATCCAGATCGTACTCTGTTCACTTCCAGTGAACTCCGTGAATTAGCATGCTTTGATCCCTCCAGAATTAGGACTGCTAGTAATGAGATTTAGTCTAAGGAAGATGATCTAGAAGTAAGATCCACCCTCCTAAATATTTCTCAGCTCTATTGATGAATAGTTCAATGCTATAACTTATTTACAGAAATTCCTCAGTTCCTTCCTCCTTACTTTTCCTCTCGTGTGTCACTTTTTAATTTTTTTTTTTTAATTCATAGTTCACATAGTTTGGTGTCCCTGTCCCCCTACGTTTCTGTAATCTGTTGCTGACAGTTGTGCTGAGGTAGTATCAGAAAGCCGTTCTATCTTTTGCATATAATTCCTATAATGCTGAAATGGGAATATTTACTGACACTGTACATCAGGGAGAAAATACTGTGGTGTCAGCCATTTTGGGTAATTAGGGTAATCAAGATGCAGAAGAAAGCATTGAGTGATAATACGCTACAGTTTTATTTCTGTATTGTGAATCTGCTAAGGCATACCTGTGCTACATTTTTGTGGTCTTTATCTTTTCCTCTGGTTTTTTTTATGGCACTATATATCTTCTAATTTCTTCACTGTGAGGGCTGAAAAGCATTTGAAGTTGTCTTTCATTTCTTGTACACTTAGCTTTATCTGATAGGGTTTGAATTGCTAAATTTGTTAATTATGTTTTCCTAAAGATCATATGCTGTAGTGTTCTAAGTTTTGTGTAGCATGTTGTTTAAATAAAACTGTTAAGAATTAGTAAATTTTTATTCCTCTATAATTATAATGCAAAATTATTATTTACATTTACAAAATAAATTTATATTTGTAGTGTTTGAACTGTGTAAAGGCCTTCAGAGTACTATACAAATATTAATGCCTTATTAAAGCAAAAGTGTACAATACCAAAACCTGAAAAATCTGAAAAATTTTTACTAAATTCAAGGTTTTATCTTGTGTTATGTCAAAATGGTAAATCACCTGCAGTTACCTGTGTTTTGAGAACAAAACTGGAAGAATTGGATTTTTACCCTGTTCTGATGTAGATTTTTTTGTTTTTGTTTTTTTGTTCTTGTCAGTTATATTACCTTTGGAGAATGGACCAAGTATTTCAGGATTGCTAACAGAATTAAAAGAATATTTTATACTTGTTTACTATAAACCCAAATTTGCAAATTTATTTTTGGTCTACTGTTTCCATTAGGAATATAATTATAGTTAAGTGTTTAAAAATTGAAAGTTAAAGTTTCTGAATACTGATATTTCGAAGAAATTTAATATGAAAAATACAGCAACACAAATTTGGTGTTGTACTTTGCAGTAATAATTTCAAAGCATAGGCAAATGTCAGTATCGAAAGAAACCATATGTTTTTCTTGTGGTTGTAGCTGGTCAAAGCTCTGTCTCTATGCTAATGCTACACATAAATACTACATCTCCCCTATATACGTCTGCCTCCAGTTTTTCAAAATTGAATCTACAGCCTGAAAATACTTTTGTGCTCTGTTTTAAATTGTTGGTACCATATAAGAGAGACATGCTTTCATTGAGGAGGAAACAAAAGGCAGATTCTGTATCTCAGTATATCCCTACTGCAGATGTGAATAGGTGAGAAGTCCTGGAAAGCTACCAGGTTTGCCCACTGGTGCATTCTGTTGCCATGGGTGAGTCTCCAGCTGGCACCAAGCTGACGTGTTTTGCAACCTCTGGTTTAAAGTGGGTATTGGACCACATCAGATGTGGGGTTGTATTCTGGGGCTTCCTGCCCCCACTGTCCAGATAAGGTAGATGGTAGTAGCCCACAAAATGTTCTGATCACTTCTGAAGTCTATGTAGAACTTGCCTCCAAGTCAGGACTTTACAGATGAGCTCTAGAGAGCCTGTAATGGCTCAGGCGATTGCAGCTAGTGCGCATTGCTGCCACTGGCAGTCAGAAGGAAACCTGTGCCTGAGCCTCCAGTGTTCAAGCAGCCTCAAGTGTATTACCTTAAGTCAAAAAGGAAGTGGGTCTCCATGAGTGCTCTGCCTAGTGAACTTTGTGGACTTTGCACAAGCACATTTTTGTATCTGCTGCCTCATCTTCATGTCATGTCAAAACGGTGGAGCAGAAGGTGGGATTGTGCTCAATGCAGAAGTCAGTCCTTGGGCAGACACAATTTGCTTCACGTGTTGAGTTGCACTTTTAAAAAGTAAAAACATGACCTAAATATTAATTTGTAAGACTGGTGAAGGGTATTTTATGTGTGTGAATATAAAAAATGGCAAGACACAATGCTGATGCTACAACGGTAAACTTTTTTGAACGAAGAGTCTTGTACATTCAGAGTTAAACTTGCTTTGCATCAAGATACTCAAATATAGGGGATTTTTTTATGTATGCTTGTCTTCCTTTCCTGTGTGTAAGGTGGAGTGAGCGTACTTGTAAACATTATGTAGCTTAAACATGAAACATGTTGCTGAATACTGGTGTTTCTTGAGAAATGAACCAACCAAGGTAAAAATTAGAGATCTAGCAAAAAAAGGAAAAGGACTGTGGAGTCCCTTTTTCTAAAGTATATTGGATTTCCTTTCCATCTCTTAAGGTGGCTTGAGGCAAAGACACAGTTGAATTTGTCTGAATTAGGGACTAATTTTAATAGAAGTTGGATCTTTTGCCTTTTAGTGCAAGTTAAGAAGGGAAAACTTGCAGGGATTACCTACTTGAAACTAAGCTAATTTGAATGATGCTTTGTAAATCTGGTTTTTTTTAGCCAACATCCTTTATGTGCAGAATCTACCTTGTTATGTTTATCTAGTTATTCCCTGAGTCCCTCTAGCAGGAATGAAGATACTGTTATCCCTGTTTTACTCCAGGTGAATGGAGGGGAGTTGAGGCTAGTGAGTTTTCATGGGTTGTCTGTGGCAAAGCAGAAAAATGAGTCTTTGTATCCTGTGGCTGGTCTGACCTCTTGTTCATTGGATACTGAGTTATTGCTTTGTTAAGAAATTATATTAAACAAATTACATTGTTGATTATTGATATATTGAATGTTGGTGTAATGGTTTCATTACATCTTGCATATACTGAATTTTAAGTAATAACTAATTTGGTTTTACATGTAAAACTTTCTAATATGGTAATAGCTACTTCTTCCATAAAAAAATTTCTGTATTTCAGAAAGATGAAACACTGTTTTTTGCCTGGTGATCAGCAACTGACAGAGCTTAAAAAATAATTTTACTAACAGTATCACAGGAATGTGATTAATACTTCGCTTTAGTTAGTGCTAAAAGATCTTATTTTCTTCCAGAAAAGTAATTTCAGTCATACCTTCTCTTTTGCAATACTTAGTTGCTTTTTTAAGAACAATTTTTGTAGAGATATAACCACTAAACCAAATGGAAATGGGAATTATTTATAGCACTAGGTGGTTGGGTTTTTTAATGATTAGCTGCTATAGAGTGTAACCTGCGTTTTTACAAGGGTACTTATATAGTATAATGCACATGGTTTTTTTGAAGGCAAATGCCTTTTTGAGTGAGGAAAACTTTGATTTGTCTGAAATCTTATCGCAAACTTTTTAGCTGCTCAGGATGCCAGCCTCACTGTGCTGGCAGAATTTTCCTGCAATTGAGAAGTTCTCAGGCATTTAAATATTCAACGCTTAAAAAGTTAATCTTGTTCTCATTTTCAAAGATGTCTGCTGCCTCCAAACATTTACTTACTGGTTTTAGTAGACATTTGTTGTAATTGTTTCATTGCATTTCTGTTTTATATTGTTTGGAGATGAGCATCCCTTGTTCTTCCTTTTACCTCCTCCCTCTTATGTTCTTTTTGAGTTGGTATACTACCAATTCTGAATTCAACTGTTGTGACTCTTCTATAGCTTTCTGTGGGAAGGGGCAAGGAGTAATTTTCACTCTACTACCTTTCTGATTAACTTTAGGGTTAAAACTGTGTATATTGTATGACATAGGAATGGCTGTTCTCTTTGTACATCTTTGTGCACTGCTTATCTGCTTTTTATGTCTGTCTGTCTCCATTGTTTTGGTGTCTTATGATGAATTATAAGATGTTAAATTCTGAGCTCTGCTAACTAGGTAAAGTTATATCATGTGAGGTCAACACTTGAAATTTTTTCATTACTAGAAGAATAGTTTTTTTTTTCCCAGAAGATACTGCACGAGGTTCCAGGAAGTTTTGCTAGAATTGGCAGAAGAGGACAGAAGTCCTAGACTTTTCAGTCCTACTGGTTCTGATCACTAACTGTGCTTTTCTCAGAGGAAGAGCTGCCAGCTGTGGACATGGAAATAGCATTACAGTGTGTAGTGCTTCTAGTGCTGTTCTAGTACTATAAAGTTTGACTCATGGCTGATACTACTCTTTAAAATAACAAATGAATGGGAGGAGAGGGGAGATATAGTAATGAGTGAATAGGTCTCTAAATTTACATAAATATGTTCCTTTATTTGAATGTAAAGCTTTCTCTTTTGTATCTTGGGTTAATTTTCAGTAAAACACACAACATTGTTGTAAAGTGGTGTTAAAACCTGGTATTACCAGGTTATAAAAATTGTTTCTCTAATAAGGGAAGATATGTTTTCCTCCATGTACTCCAGTTTATCATGAGAACTTAAAGGATGCAGTGGACACTGAAACAGTAGAGCAGATCTAAACCCATGCTAATTTAGCCTTGTATAGATTTCTTTTTAAGCTGGCAATAGTGATTTCTTTTCACAGCAAATCTGACCTTTTCTTACCCCCATCACAGCCACCCCCTTCCCTCTGAAAAAAATCATACTTCAGCTAAAATGCTGCATTCTGTGTATTCAGGTGTTTTGTATAACTTCACCGTTGGGTTTTTTTTTATTCATTCAGATAGCTTGGCTAGAGGAAGTGTGACTGCAGTCTTTGAACTTAATATGTGAGAGGATGCAGATTCATTTTATTGCCAATGGGATTCACATAATTTGAACTCTATGCTGTGGGAGAAAAGTCAGGCCTTCCTTTGGGATTGTTTCTGTACCATAGGTATTCGAAATTGGCGATGGGTGCATTAGTTTTACCTACCTTATCTCAGTTCAACTGCAGCCAGCTCAGTGCAGTTCAAAGATCCTCCCATGTTAAAGTTCTTAAGTAAACAGAAGTCAGGGGGTGGTCACACACTCCTGTGCAAGATGATTCTACCTGAGTTCAGGGAGAGTAACTAGTATTCAAGAGAGAAGGAGAAGAGAAATATTTGTTCTTGCAAATGTCCTTGAACTTCTAATAAGCCAATGGTAGGCAGCTTTCTTATTGGGAAAAATAAGTGTGTCTTTTTTAAGACTTTCTATGTGTATATATATACACTCTGATTTTTTTTTTGACAGGAATGTTTTGATCCTACTATGCAGTTGCATCTTGTTCATCAAGCTCCATGTACCATTCCTCCTTACATCTCGAAAAATGGATCAAGCCTTGGAGATTTGCTAATAGGCTTCTTCAAATATTATGCCACAGAATTTGAGTAAGTAATAAGCTCGTCTTTGTGGTTTGGAATACACAGAACTTTAATTCCTTCTGTTCAATATAGCAATGCTTTCTAATGCTTGAAGAGAAGGAATTGCAGTAATGAAGGAATGGGAATTGACAGAGAGGAAAGGGGCGAAAAGGCTAAAGGACAACAGGAATGCTGATAAAGTATCTGACATCTTCTGCTTAGCCAGGCATTCTGTCCTGCAAAATAGCTGCTGAACACTAGAGAGCTTTGTCCTTTACAAATTGCTAGGGTTTGTTATATTACACTATAATATAATGTTTCTCCTGAGTACCTGTCTTTTCAGCTGGCAAGGTGATGTTTGGTAATGAGGCAAATGAGAAGACACTGCTGAAGGGTTTCTTCAGGTTCCTGATTTATGTTGAGCACTAGATGAATCCTTTGCTACTTATCTGAACAACAAGTTGTTAATCTTCTCATATACGAAAGTAAATATATTTTCCAATAAGGAACAATTTTCTGGTTTGCCTGGGCAAAGTAGTAGAGATGATCTTGTCTAAATGCAGGAAAAATGCCTAATTTGCTTTTCTGGTTTTAGTGCTTGTAAACATAGTCAGGACCAGATTTCTACCTAGTTGGTGGCTGGTCCAGACAGACTTTGTTTTTGTGTGCTATTAGACAGATATATGTTAAGATATATGAGGACTTCTGCAATATCAGTACTTGAAGTGATGGTAATCCCTAAATATTATTTTTTTGTGATGTTCATAAATCAGGAAAAAATGTTACCTAAATTAAATCACACAGGTTAAATTCTGGTTAAAACAAGCCTTGAAAAAGTAACATTGAAGACAGGATAGTTGCTGATGTCAAAGGAAGAAAATGTTTTTTAAAAACAACTGAAAAAACAATGATGTGGCTGTTTTTTCCAGGGTCCAGTATCTGTTAAGTATTTAAACATTTCATTCATGATATTCTGTTCAAACAAACAAACAAAAAACCTACCAAAAAAACCCTGTAAAAAATAGCCATTAGAAGTCCTGTGTTGAAAATGCTACATAGCTGAGAAATTATTTGAGGAAATGATGCACTTAATGCAGCAGCCTATGTTTTTTTTCTGCTACAGAAATAAAACTTAGTCAGATGTACTGTTTAATTGACCATCTGTGTATCCCTGACAACTATAAATAATGTTTGAAAGGAATAGGTTTCATGTCTTGAAGGTAGTAAATTTCCATATAGTTTCTTAAAACATGGTAATTGCCTGGAGAAGACAAATTAGTGCCCATATGGAGGAACATGATCATGTCTTAAAAGTTTTTTTTGTGTGAGAGAGCAGGCCAGTGAGAACCAAAGAACAGTGTCATGCTAGGCACAAATGTGTTACCTTTGCTTTGAAGTTGCTGTTGGAAACAACAGTACTAGTCAGAATGAGGAGAGTTAAATAGGTAGAATCACAGAATATGCTGAGTTTCCTCATATCTAAACTAAACCTCTACTGACTCAGCTTTACACCATTACCTGAAGTCCTGTCAGTGGTTGTGAGAGTCAAGAGATCAGTACCTGCCCATCCGCTGCCCCTCCAGACTGAACAGACCAAGTGACCAGAGCCACTCCTCATAGGACTTCCCCTCCAGACCCTTCACCATCCTCATGGCCCTCTTTTGGACACTTCTTGATGGCTTACTATCTTTCGTATATTGTGGTGCCCAAAACTGCACACAATATTCAAGGTGAGGCCGCCTCAGTGCAGAGCAGAGCAGGACAATCCTCTCCCTCGACTGGCTGGTGATGCTTTGCCTGATGCCCCCCAGACACTGTTGGTCCTCCTGGCTGCCAGGGCACTGCTGAGTCATTCAGCTTGTAAATACAACACAGTGCTCTCTTAGTTCTGCCTTTCATGGAAGAACTAATATCTTACTCCAGAATGTGTTGAGTATTTTCATTGGTGTGGTTAGTAATTTTTAAAGGGTTTGCTTTTCCTGTGAAACATTTATTAATGTTTTTATGCACTGAAATGTTGAGATATATTTCAGATACTGCAACTGTTAAACTGGGCTATATTTCAATGACCTAGCCAGTGAACTTTCACTATTGTACTGTAATGTGTTTGATGAAAAGATTAATAAAGAGACTGCTATTTCAGTTAATAATATAAAAGTGATTGTTGTAAGTTTCTGTCTTTTTTAGGAGTAAAATGCACTACCAGGTTTGATACACAGGAACTGTTTTGCTTAATGAATAGGATGCAATCAAGAATGATCAGATCATGTGTGAAGATCATAATTTTGAACAGAATGAGTCATTGAAGTGACCTGCCTAGAATGCTTAACTACTCATTTATTTTAAAAGTGTTGTTCAGGAGTGTAGGAGAAGATGGGGATGTATTGTTTTAAACTTGTCTCTCACTCTAGCAAAGACCATCAGGTATTTCATTTAAAATCTGTGGTTTATTTTACTTTAGGTAGTGCATAATATTTAAAGGCAGGATGGGCCCAAAGAGTATGGCAAAGGAAGAAACAAAGGCACCTTGCATGGTGTGCAGCCATGAATAAGTTCATCTCCTTGTGCTGTGTTTTTTTCCCTTATCCTTTTCACCTGTTTGATTTATTTAGACTGAAAGATGTTTCAGAAAACTGCTTATTGCCACATATTTATACCATGCCCTTTCTACAGTTCTCCTTTGGGGCTTTCAATGTGTCCGTAAGAAGTAACTTTTACGCTCCTTCATCCCTATCCCTGAATAAATGTGATTTGGAAATTGATACATATATTGGACTAACACACTACAGAGCTTGTTTTGCCTTTGTGGTTGTATAATTATCTTGCCATAAGAGCTCAAGTCTGCATAATGTTTCTTATGATAAAACTGGCTAAAAGCATGCTTATGACTCCATTTTAACTCTAAGTATTTAAAATTGTCAAAGGTCTGCTGATTATGCAGTGAATGTGATAAGTGAAAAATGCATTTAGATGTTGTCCAAAGAACGTATTTGTAAACTGGTCCATGTTTACCAGTCCCTTCAAAGCAGGTGTCTGATTTCATTTCTGCAGCTATGAGTGAAGGCAGCAGGTTGTCACTTGGCTGTCTCTTTCCAAAGTGAGACCTTGAAGTAAGGCCTTGTTTCCCTGAATATGCTGCTAGGGAACCTAGAGATTGTCCTTTATGACTACTTCTCTTAAATTTATTGTTGCAAGTTATGTAGCAGTTGTTTTAGGTCATTCATTAAGTTGTATTTGACATGAAAAAAGATTGATTACATTTTAATGACAAAATATAAAATTAGAGTGAGCAGGTGCTGGCAACTCTTTTCACAGTAGAATTGGTCAAGTAATAAAAGGATCATTTTTAATATCATTGAATTATATATGCTTGCAATTTGTGTGTTTATACAAGTGGCTTTGATTTGTAAGTTTGCTCTGGAAAAGATAAGCTTTCTATTTTATTTTATTTGTATTATACACACACCTAGAATTGCCTAATCTTTCTTTCAAATACTTGTCTTCCCAGTGAAGATCATGTATCTAATGAAGGCAGTGACAACAAAAATAACTGATAATTGAAATAGCTGTTTAAATAACCATTTTTAACTTATGGATTGAAAAACTGTATGTGGAGAATGTTTGCTTTGTGTTGCTAACAGTGAAGTTCTTGTATGCAAGTATAATGGTTAAAACTGATACACAAATAATTTGCTGTTGGTAATTAACTTCTAATTCAGTATGATTTCAGTACCAAGACAGGTTTAGTGACACTATCAGATAAAACAGTTATTTTCAAGTTTAAAATGGCACTTTTTGTTGCTTTTTTGCTTAACCAGTGTATCATAAATGGATTTATTTTTTGCTGAGGAATTGAGTATAACCTAGAAAAAAGAGAATTCAAGAGCAGAATTACTCTTTCAAGTTAAACAGTACTGCCTGCTTAAACTAAATGCAGATCAAATACTTTGTTTCATGGCTTTTTTTTTTTTTTAGCTTTTAGAAAAAGCAGATGAGTTGAACAGTCATCTGCTCACAACCAATGTCCTCAGGCTGCGGTTTAAACTTGAGGGTTTTTTGGTGTTTTGGTTTTTAATTTATTTATTAATGTTGTTGTTTCTTTTTGTTTGGATGGTTTTTGTTTGGTTTTGGTTTTCTTTTTTGGTTTGGTTTGGGGGTTTTGTTTGTTTGGTTTTTGGTTTTGTTTGGGTTTTGTTTGTTTTCCTTCTTTATATATGTTCATGTTTGTTCTTTTTTGAGCAGTTCATATGAATTAAGTCTGTTGATGTTCATTTATTAAAAGACATGATAGGAAAGTATTTGATGCTTCACAATATCTGTAATTCTTGCAAAAGTAGTCTACTATGGGAATTAAGGAGAGGAAGGGTGATGGGTTAGAATGAAAGGTTTAGTTTGCATTGAGTGCAAGGAATCGTCATCATCTGTACTAATTTTCTAAAGAATATATCAGGAGAAATCTAAATATACACACTGAGGTATCCTAAACCTACTTCATGTGCTACATCCTGCGCTTTTTGGAAATAAGCCCTATTCATATTTTTAAATAAAAGAATAATGCACATGTTCTGTGTAAGTACAGTTATTCAAACAACTGACTTTCATAAGTGGTTATGAGCTGTATCCAAGATAATTTGTGGAATTACAGTCATAGATTTTTAGCTGTCTTAGCAGCAGTGACTTAATGGAGTTACAGCAGCTGATCTGTGGCCTAGGGAGCAAGGAGTTCTTCCAAATGATTAAACTAATGAATTATAGATGATATTTTAATTTCCAGTTGATATTTACAGATTTACTGCAACTGGTTGATATACCCAGCACAGCTCCTCTGTCTTTGCATTATGTCAAAAGATTGATTCAGTCAGGAGATCACGTCAGGTGTATATAACACCAGTACAGCTGGCAGCACATTAACCACCTATTTCTAAGCCCCATTTAGTCAGGATATATGGTGATACATTGTTGGTGATCCAGGCATTTTGTTGATAGAGTAGTTCCCTGCTTTACAGAATCTTCAAGGTTGGAAGAGACTTCCAAGATCAGTCCAACTGCCAACCTGGCATCACTATAAACACCCTTAAACTGTACTCCCAAGTGCCTCATCAAGACACCTCTTGAATACTTCCAGAGACAGTGACTCCACTGCTTCCCTGGACAACACATTCCAATGCCTGACCACTCTTTCAGTGAAATTTATTTTTTCTAATACCTAATTTGATGCCTCCCTCCGCCATTTCCCATGCTATTTAAGGCCATTTCCTCTTTTCTTTGGAACGTGGCAGAAGAGACCAACTCCCAGCCAACTGCAATCTTCTTCCAGGTAGTTGTAGACAGCAGTGAGGTCCCCCAAGCCTTCTTTTCTCCAGAATAAAAAAAAAAAAACCACATTTCCATCAGCTGCTTTTCATAGGATGTGTTGTCTCGACCCTTCACCAGCTCCATTGACCTTGTTTGCACACACCTCAGCACCTCAATGTCTTTCCTGTAGTGAGGAGCTCAAAACTGATCACAGAACTTAAGCTGCAACCTCGCTAGTGCTGAGTACAGAGGGACAATCACTGCCCTGGTTCTGCTGGCCACATTATTTCTGATACAAGCCACAATGCCATTGACTTTCTTAGCCACCTGGGCACACTGCTGGCTCATGTTCAGCCACTGTCAACCAGCACTCCCAGGTCCTTTTTAATCTGGGCAGCTTTCCAGTCACGCCTCCCAGTCTGTGGTGCTGCTTGGGGTTATTGTGACCTAAGGGGCACTTTGCTTTATACTGTGTGCCTTGTCCCATTGTTGGTCTATCCAGCTTGTCCAGATCCCTCTGCAGAGCCTTCTTGCCCTCCAGCAAATCAACATTCCTTCCCAGCTTGGTGTCACCTGTGAACTGTGTAAAGGTACACTCGATCCCCTCATCCAGATCATGCCCCAGTACTGAGTCCTGGGGAACACTACCTTGTGACTGGCTGCCAGCTGGAGGTAACTCCTCTCTGAGCCCATCCATCCAGCTCCTTTTTAACCCAGTGAACAGTGCATCTATACAAGCCATGAGCAGCTGGTTTCTCGAGAACACTGTGGGAAACAATGTGAAAGGCTTTACTGAAGTCTAGATAGACAGCTACCACAGACCTTCCCTTGTCTGCTAAACAGGTCACCCTGTCATAGCAAGAGATCTGGTTGGTTGAGCAGGAACTGCCTTTCACAAACCCATGCTGCCTGGGCCCAATCCCCTAGTTGCCCTGCATGTGCCTGATGATGGCACTGGGCACGAGCTGCTCTGTTTATTTAAGAGCAGCTGAAAACTGGCTGGGTAGATAAGAACATAAAACTGAAACTGGTTGTTTTGACTTCCATTAGGTTTGGCGTGTTGTTGTGCCAAGCATCATAAAGATGTTGGCACATGATAAATATTGCCCTGTAGATTGCCTGCTGTTCCTGTTTCAGTATGATAATTTCCTATTGTTTTGTTACCATAAAGTTATGCACAGATAATGGTAGGAAGTTGTTGCACTTGTAGATATAAAATTCAGTATAGACAAAGTGTTGGTGCTTTCTAATGATAGGTTCCTTGCACCAGGAATGCTAACCTGTAAGCAAGCTGTCTCTATGTATCTTTATACTACTGAGTATTTTTTTAAGGAATGCAGTATGTGACTTCATCTGCACTTATTCTTTGCCTTTCTTTTCTCCCCATAGCAAATTCTAAAAGTTTTGAGTCTATAATTTCTTTTGAACTTAGAAATAAATGTAGGTGTCAATATTCAGTTTGACATTGTTAGCTGAAAAAGTTATTCTGTTCTGAATATATCTTACTCATGAATACCCATGCTGCTCTATTTTGGAGACGCTTTTGTAATTAAACTTCTGTTTGTGGAAAAATTTTCTTGTTTCCTACATGATTCCATATTCTTATATACTGAATTGTGAAGATTAGACTGTTAAAGTAAATTTTTCAATATTATAAAGTACAGCATTAACCAGGATTGTGACATAGCAATTTAACAATTTTTTTAAATGTAAACTGATACTATCAATTTGGAATCAAGTTAAAAATGTTTGCAAATTGTTTTTTTCTAGTTGGAGCCATCAAATGATTTCAGTTCGTGAAGCCAAAGCTATTCCAAGACCTGATGGTATTGAATGGAGAAACAAATTTATTTGTGTAGAAGGTAAAATGTGAAGCTACATTATAGTTTTTAACTGTTAAGACATTAAATACATAAATCTATCAATTAGGCTTTACCTTGGTTGTGTTTTGAGAAATATATTATGTATGTGCATTATGTAGAAAATGAAGTTTAACCAATGTAAATAGTTTGGAAACAGTCCCGTCAAAAACATTTGAGAAGGAAGTTTTAAGTTCCGTAGTGTTTAAAAATAGTACTCCTGACCTTTTCTTCAAGAGCACTCATTGCCCTGTTACTTTTGGAACAGGGATTAGGACTTTGATAAGGAATGGCCTTTATGCCAGTCGTGTGTTTTTCTGTTCCACAAAAATAGTCATCTGCTTTGCCAAGTTTGAACTTTTGAAAAAACACACCCAGCACATACTCAGATTACTCTCGAGGAATATTCTTTGTTCTAGAAATGCTCTGGCATTGCAAGTCCTATCAGTGATGTGTATGTTGATCTTGTGGATACTCGTTTTGGCCAGCTTGTGAATGTAGACTTTGTACACAACAGGAGGGTACAGCCAGGCTACCTGATGGAGTTGCAGGTCTCAGCCAGGTCTCATGGCAGAAGTGGGCAGTAGCACTGTCCAAGTAACCTGATCCATGTGCTTGTGCTGCCTTACAACTGCTGTGGGGAGTGTACATGGAGAAGACGAGTAGTTAAGCGTACATAGGAGATGAAGCTTGCACTAGGGAAAGAGGAGCTGATAGACCAAGAGAAGGATTGAGATGTTAGGAGAATGAAAAGAGGAGCAGGGAGGGGACTGAGAGGTGCTGTGTAACTGGAAACAGTTACTATATAGGGAGAAGTGGCCTGGGCCCCGGAGGGGCGTTAATGGAGGCTGTTAAGATCAGGATATCAAGGGCTAAAGTTTCAGGATAAAAGAGGAATAGAAATTAACCAGGAGCCAAATGGTACGGAAAGAGTTGTTAGACACTGGGAAAATGTTGCTGGGGGAGGAGGGGAGTAAGGCAGAAGTCCTGTGGCTGGACAGGCTTTCCTCAAGATCGCTGAGGGTAGGCATGCACCCATGTGTGTTTGTATGTAATTTCCTGCATTTGTGCTACTCTCTGCAGAGAATAATTACCTGCTGGTGAAAGGGGTTATTCTGTTGCCTAGAGCTCACCAACTTGGCTGTAATCGTATGAATGTCAGTGTGAATCCCCATGATGGAATTCCTGTTCTTTGTTTGACTTTTTGGGAAAAATCAACTAACACTCATAGGAGAAAAACCCCACACTGAAATATGATTGCCCACTCAACTTTGTAGTCTCAGAGTTGACAAATATGAGAATTAGAGTATCCGCACAGCTGAAATAATTCAGGATAGCAGTGATAGTGAGGCATTGCCAAGGCTCTGGTCTGAATGTGGGAGGTGGGAATGCTGGGCAGCTGTGTCTACTGCTGTCACATGATGTTGATCCACTGTGTTGCAGGGGACTGTGTATTTCAAGCTCTCAAATTTTTTATGCCATTACAAAGTGGTTGAATAGTTAGGTTATCTGTCAGGTTGGAAAATAGAATATCAGCATACAAAAAAACCACTCTAGATTTTGCATTTAATGGTCTTGATTGCATGCAACTTTTCCTTAAGAATGCATTTTCCATTTGAACTATGAAAAAAAAGCAGAATTATCTATGGGTGGCATATCTGATTCCTTCCTGTTACAATGTGGTTCAAGGCTTAGTGAGGTTTATCCTCAGATAGCAAAGTTTTACTTCTAAATCAGAAGGGAAAAATAAAATTTCCTATTTCAACTCAAAGTAAGCTTCATGTTTATAACACCTGTTAAGCTGAACTACTTTCAAAAAGTATGTGTACCTTGAGAAGAAGATTTCAAAAGCTAGCTAAACATATTAACATATTCTGGTTTCCAAATCTCTGTCAAATTTTCCAGTTAGTGGACTAAAATTTCAGTAATGGTTATTATGGCATATATTTTTAAGATATCTAAAATATATTTGGTTTTAGATTACACAAGTCCATGCCTGCACATATAGCACTGTATTTAGACTTGCTCAGGAAAAATTATGGGTTTTTTTAATTGTTATTGACCTTAAGGCTAATTCTCACATGTACTTCTGCTGATAGAGAAACAAATATAGTAGAGATCTCTGCAGACAGTTTAAAATCTGTCAGACTTTTATCACTATGGGGATACAGAGATACAAAAAACACTGCTTTTAGATAATATTTTGAACATTCCTTGTCAGAAATTCTAAATTGCTAGCGACTATTCTAGTTTCAGTTTAAATCTTGTCTATATCAGGTAATATTATACACTGGTATTGAAAAAGATACAGTTTGGAAAAGTTAGAAATGTGGCAGTTTTGTGAGATAATTAAATGGATAGTCATTTAGGGAAGTTGAATTGGAAGCCATCAAAGCTGCACCTGATACATGCTTTCAAATCTTTCAGATCTACATGTTAAAAATAATTTAAAAAAGAATTCCTCAGGGCTTGATTGGCAGCAGTTTTGAAGTTGTGTGATTTCCTGTATTTTCATTTGGAAAAGACGATCCACTTTAGCCTTTCCCTCAAGCATCAGTGTTAAAGCTGTGTTACTTTATTCTTTTAATATTCTCATGTCTCTGTGTGAACAAAATAACTTAGAGTGAACTCTCTCTGTCTTAATGGTTAGCAAATTTAGTGGTGTAAAGAGTAGCTCATTGCAAAACTATTCTTGCTGCGCTCCAGGGAATGACTTTGTCTTTTGACAGTCAGTAAATATGCAGGAAGAAGAAAGGGAAGTCTGCTTTTTTTCCACTGATGGTTTCAGAAGATTGTACAGTTCTGCTCTTGTTGCTTTAATATACAGATACATCTTGTTTCAATATAAAGTATATAATGGTCACAGCATTAAAAAAGCAGTTACCATCATGTTTGAGACACAAAAGAAATTCTGTACTGCTTCATATAATAAGGAACATGGAATTCTTGATGGCACTAGATCACTCTGTGAGATTATGTGGCTGATATTAGAGGATTATGTACTTTTTTATTTCATTGTGGGTTCTTGTTCAAACCTAAAGGTATGATGCGTCCTAAAATAAAATAAATCTGCCTGTGAATGTCCACTGAACACCAGGTAGTTTGAAGAGAAGCCTTTTAGAAAACTGCCAAATATACAACATTTATTGCATGAAAAAAATTCTTTCTGAATTTAAATAGCTAGCAGAAATAAAAACCTAATGCCATGGAACATGTTCCAAATTTGAAATTCCAGTCTCCCTAATGGCATAAGCTTTCTGGCATATGGTTAATGCTTTATTTTACTATGTGTCCCTAGCTGAGAAAAAAGGAATTCATAACCAACTAACCAAAAAAGCTACCTGATCTAGCTAATACTTGTGTGGTTCTGCGTCCCTTAAGGACTGTCATACATTTTGCCAGTGTGAAATATACAATGTTACTTAAGCAGTTTTCTATTAAGACAGAAAAGACTATAAAATCAGTTTTGTAGCACAATGTAATGTGTAGTCTCTGCATCATCATTTTTTTAGTATCTGTTACTTTAATGTTGGCAAACCTATTAGTAACGAGTACTTTTTTAATCTTGCAATTAAAAAAAAGTTCCAAACTATTACAAAAGGAAAATTACTAGGAAAAAAGGGATAAAGACATCACATAGATTTGTGGTCAGTTAGAAGGTAAAAGCCCCAAATTGTTAACTCATGAACAGATTCTGCAGATTAGGTATGAAGTGATAAAATACAGTTTTACAGCAGTTGATATGTCTTATATTAAAAGTCATAGTAAATATTTTGCTATATTCTCAGTATTTCACTGAGAGGCTGTTGAATGAGATGAACCTAAAGTGAATAGTTCCAGAAGGCTCATGTGTAGTTAGATTCAAAAGTCATATCCTGGTATGAATATAATATTCTGATATGTTATATTCTGATATGTTATCACAGACTGTTGAGCTGTAACAAGTAATTATTGGTGCATAAATTCAGAACAATCATAGTATGCTTCAACAGATAATAATAACCTGACTTCATTATGGATTACATATCATTAGAGCATTCATACAGTCATAGAATGGTTTAGGTTTGAAGGTCATGTCTTTCCAACCCCCTACCATGGGCAAGGACATTTTTGTCTAGGCTGGGTTGCTCAGAGCCACATTCAACCAGACCTTGAACACTTCCAGGGGTGGGGCAACCACGCCATCCATGGGCAACCTGTGCCAGTGTCTCATCACCTTTGTAGTAAAGAATTTCTTCCTAATATCTAATCTAAGGTTGACCTTTTTCAGTTTGAAGTCATTCCCACTTGTTCTATCACTACACACCCTCTCCAGTTCTCTTATTGGTGTTATAAGGCCTCCTTGTAAGGTGTTATAAGGTGTTAACTCTTCTCCAGGTTGAACAACCCTAACTCTCTGAGCCTTTTCTTATAGGAGAGGTGCTCCAGTCCTCCAGTCATTTTTCTGTCCCTCCTCTGGACCTGCTCCAACACTCCGTGTCTTTGGTGTGCTGAGGATCCCAGAGCTGAATGCAGTTCTTCAGCTGGGGTCTCATGAGGTCAGAGTAGAGGGGCGGAATCGCAGAATCGCCTCCCTTAACCTGCTGGACCCACTGCTTTTGATGCAGTTCAGGACACAGCTGGCTTTTGGGGCTGCAAGCGCATGTTGCCGGTTCATGTCCAGCCTCTCAACCACAACAATCCCCAAAGTCCTTCTTAGCAGGGCTGCTCTCGATCACTTCTTCTCCCAGTCTGTATTCCTGTCTGGGATTGCCCTGACCCAGGTCAGCACCTTGCACTTGCACTTGTTGAACTTGCTGAGATCCTCATGGCCCCTCAGGTTTGTCCCGGTCCCTCTGAATGGCATCCTGTCCCTCTGTTGTGTCAACTGCATCACTCAGCTTTGTCTCCTCTGCAAACTCCCTGACGGTGCACTCCATTTGGGACATTGAGAGCATTCAGGGTTTGGGACTTTTTTTTACTTCTCTGTTTGTTTTTGTGTTTTGTTTTGATAAATGCTATGTAGAAAGAAAGCTTGAGAACCAAAGTGGCATTGGCTATTCAAAACACTCTTGGGAAGCAATGATATGTTGACCCTACTGGTTTTTGTCTGATTACTTGCTTAGGGGAGACAACCTAGCTCTAGATTTTTTTATCACTTTTAATGTTTGTGTTTGGTCTTGCAGAGCCTTTTGATGGGACAAATACTGCTAGAGCTGTACATGAGAAACAGAAGTTCGATATGATCAGAGGTGAATTTGCACAGGTAAAAAGTACACCTCATTTAACTTTTCCAGTCACTTTGCTTATCAATTTAGTATACAAATTCTAGTCATTAAACCTGCCTGTTTCTGATAGTTTATACTTTGCACTATATAAATAATAGAAATGTGGATTTAAAAAAAAAAATTTGGGAAATTATTTTGTAAGAGTATTAATGTCTGCCATTAAGCATCAGGCTTCAGTTGAAATGGGATGGGTACTTGAAATAATAAACCCTTTGTCTTAGATTTTCTTGTGTGCATAAAATTCTAATGATTAATGGTTAATAGCTTTAGAATTACAACTTTGTCTTCATTAATTATTTATTCCTACATGAACTTGACTGGTAATAGACAATGTTTTATACTTCTTAGTATCCCATTTTTAATAAATATCACCCCCAAATGATAGGGGTTTGCCTATTTTTGACAATTTAATGAAATTGATACTTTTCTTTAGCAAGACCACACTCATAATTTTTTAGAACATGAGTATTTTGAACTGGAGCTTTCACTGTCCTAGGCAGGGGAGGAAAAGATACTTCGAAGTAAGAAAAAATTTAGACTTTGGCTAAACATCCTTCTTCTGAAAATCTTTGCTACCAGTTTTTGTTCCTGTCTCCTATCATAGGCATTGAATTTGGAATCACAATTCTGAGATCTCAGAAATACCAGTTTTCTGAGATCTCTCACTATTGAAAATTTAGTTACCACTAGGAATTAGTGCACAGAACTGGCTTCCAGCTTTAACCAGTTAAGACTCCCCTATTATGCTGTCCTTGGAGACTCCTGTTTACTTCAGTTATTAAGTCCTTAAATACATTGAATACTTCTCCAGCAAAAAGTAATTCAATGCAAGATACTTGTAGTAGAACAAATATTATAAGAGATTACCTTAGTCAGAAAAGGATAACATTTTCTTTGTAAATCTGTTCAGAAATGTCCATTAGTTTTCTTCTATTTAACCATGTTGACATAAAAAATACTGGTTCACATACTTGTACATAAAAGTTGATTTTGTGAATCTGCTATAAGTCATGTTTACAAAGTAGTTTGGACTCTCTCACTGTTCTGTAGAATCAGAGTGAAACTTCTCAAGTTTTCAGTGAACAAAATTTGTTCAAACCTGTGTAGTTTTCTGAAAAATGTAAAAGCAGCTATTTGTTTGTAGCTGTTGGGAAGCCACATACTAGAGTAATAAGCCCTGAAAAAATCTCCTCTTTATTAGGTACCATAAGAATCACAGTCGTTCTAAAAGTACAAGTACGTTTTAATATCTTGCACTATTTTTTAAAAAGCTTAAGGAATCTATTTTGTCCTTGAGAGATTATTCCTTCTCTGGTTTTCACTACACACTGGGGTTTAAAGGAGTTCTGTGTAAAGACAGGAGAACTACTACAGTTCTTTGCAGGCTCATGGCTTGACAGATTTCTTGGAATTCACACTAGAATACAGAAGAAAGTTGAAATAACCTATTTTAAAGACACAACTACATCCAGGAAATGACAACAGATAATACTGTTTATGAGGAGCTTTGATATTGCAGCAAGAATATCAATGTAATACTTAAATATTCCTAACATCTTTTTGTCCCACAAATCTACTCTCTTCTTGAAAGTCTCTACCTTCCTCATTAGTTCATTGTGTTTTATACATCTTTTAGATTTTGCTTCCCTTAAAAAACACCAAAAAACAGCCAACCAAGAAAAAAACAATCCACAAACTGTTTTTTCAAGAAGGGAAAAAGTTTAAGCTTGTTTTGTTGGATCTGTGATGCTTATTGCTTATAACGGTATTTAAGTTTTAACAGCAAAGATTATTTTTTAAAAACCTTGTGCTTTTTTTTCCCCAGGCTTGGCGGGTATTACGAGATAAGAAAGACCTGAAATGTATATTACCTTTAAGAGTAGAAGAACTGAAAAGATAACCAACTTCTTTCACTTTCTTTTTTTTTTTTTTTTTTTGGATCCTGCTGAAACAAAGAACAGTATCAAAATCAGAAGGCATCTACCCAATGGTTCTTTACAACCTGTTTTTCTCTGTAAACTTTTGTTAAGGAAATGTTTGTTATAAGGATGTGGCATATTTTATTACCGACATTTGTTAATACAGATGCTCATTCAAAGATATGTTTTCTGAAAATGCTTGTATTGCTGGCTTCTAGAAGAAACTCATAGCAAACAACCAGAATAAATCTATTTCAGGGAAAGTATGGGGATATATTGACTTCTTGTTTGCATAATCTGTGTAGCCATTAATTCAGACAGATTTAATGATGAAACACAGACATTCAAAGTTAATCAGTGTGCAAATCTGACTACATCCTTAAGGCACTGTGCACAGTACCCACTTCTTAATGAACAGAGAGTCCATGCTTTACGTCTGCTTAATTTTAGTAAGCACTTTGGTTCAACGTGGCACTTTCTACTTTTATTTCACTCGGAATAAGAAGTGACTTTTATGAAAATGAAGCTAAATTATGGTTGGTAGTGTCTTGGATATTAAGAACTGTAATCTAAACTGGAATTTTCAAGCAACATTTCTACTACAAAGAAGTTGAAATAAAAAAGCTCAGTTCAATATACATAAATGTTTCATATTCTCACAAGGGTAGGTGAGAAAAAATTTTGTACTTCCTTTTACGTTTTTGAAGTAGTAGTGATGCCTGCTGGGGGAAAAAAAAATTACCAAATCAAAACACCTCACAACCCTACCAGTGCTACAATATGCTGGGCTTCTCTTTTGATTTTGTGTAAATATTTGTAAATTGGTCAGCCACTGTAAATTGAATTTAAATAAGTAATATTGACAATTTGAGCTCTTCCGAAAAAATTGCACACTCTCTCTTAGACCTCCTGTAGCACAATTTCTGCCTCTCATGTATTTGCTATTGAAGACCGATTAGTTGTTAAAACTGTACTTACCACTGATGTCAAATTCATACTTCCATTTTTTTAGGTTAATATTTTATATGCTGTCCAGTGAAATAAAAGTTTATATGTGGAAGGTACAGGCTATTTTTCCACTTTCTGTTATTTTCTACTGCACATTTAAAATATTTCCCATAATTAAGTAGAATAGGAAATGCCCAATAAGGTGGGGCCCGTGTTGCAAATCATAAACATCTATAATGGCTATTTTGCAGTGCATCTGTGAAGAGGTAAAAGTTTGATTCATTGCATTCCCTAACAATAGCGCAAAAACCCTTATAATTGTAAAATAACAAGCATTATCATTTCTTGTGTAAATTTTAAAGTTCTAGTTTATTTCAGAGTTCTAGGAACTGTAAACTATTTGCCTGATGTGTGATTACTTCTAGACACTTCATCATGGTCTAGTCTATATAGGATTTGGCTTGCTTTTTAAAACACTTCTTTCTGTAATTTGAACAGCCTTTCACTTTTAATATGACTCTATCAGTCCACTGAAACATTTTCCCTCCACGTGCATGTTCCCCCTCACAGCCCTTCCTCTAAAAGATAGTAGACTTGGATCTCAGTGAAACCTTCACTCTAATCTGCTTTGTGTAAAATTGAAGCACAAGATTTTAGGACAGGCTGATGTCTGGAATCAAAGATGCTCTACGAGCCCTAGGTGAATTTTGGGGAAAGGAGAGGGTTGCTTCTTTTTTTAAAAAGATGTTGGCTGTACCTTTGTCTAGAAAATTTAAAACTCTCCTAACTTAGGATAAGTAGAAGAACATACATGTTCAAAATTGGCAAAAATGTATTTTAAGTGAGCTGGATGTCAGGTACAAAATTTTATGTCTCTTACAAGTTTGCATTATTAATTATTAATGCTCTGTGTTTGAAACCACTTCTCCCTAACTGTTTTTAAAAAGTTAGTTAAAAAAATTGTAATACCTACATGCAGCTCTGTAAAAATTTGAAAGTCAAGGTCTGTAGCCACAATGGTCTGGGTCTTTCAAAAGAATCCTTTTGTGTATTTCTCTGAAGTTGATGTACTTCTGATAAACTACATCTATAATCAGAAGTATAAATTCTAGATGGTCAGTTTCCCCAGTTGTTTAAAGACAAGCTTGTTTATAGCATATTTGTTAAATGGTGGGCTGCAACTTTTGTCTGAAAACTTCAGATATAATGTCACAAAATAAATGGTTTGGGAAGAGTGGGTAGGAACTGAACTTTAACTTTGATTCAGTTCTGCTTAGTCTGAAGTTGTTCAGAGGCTTAATGACCCAAATTTTCATCTACTCTGGGCAAGTATCCAGAGGAAGAAACTGGCTAATGGCTATCATAATTTTTTGCATTAGTGTGAAGTTTTCCCTTCTCATCTTCAAAATAAAAACCTTCACCCACTTAACTCTTGGCATACACCCTAGCAGGAATAGTTGTTTCTGAGAGATCTTTGGTAAAAGGTGTTTTTCATGGCTGACCAAGGTTTCACTGTGTGTGCAAGATGCTGTCTTTGAGGCTTATTACTGCCTCAAAATAAAAATGATTTAGTTCAGCTCTTTGTTATTTTAGGACTACTCTTGCCTACTCATTTTGGCATTGGGTTTGCTTGTCTTTTCTCACCTTATGTATCAGAAACCACTAGTGTCTTCTAAGGTAATTTAAGAACTCTCTTCAGTCCTTCAGGAGCGAGTTTAATGAGCAGGCTTAGAGATGCATGGGAGGACCAGACGTTAACAAGAGCTTCCATTTTGGTGACAGAAATGCAGAACTGGCATAGGCTGTGAACTGTGAAACTTCAAGTTTCTCTTGTAGCTCTTGTTCTCACTTTCCTTAAAATGTGAATGTATAAGTGTACTCTCAGTATCTTAAGGTATTCTGACAGTATAAGGGGTTATTTAAAAAAAATAAATCAATATAAACCAATTTTAAGACTCACAGGGTGACATGATAATTTGGGAGAAATGGGCAGCCATGATAAAAGGATGTAAGATGATTTGAGAAAACCTGAAGTTAGCAATTGTGAATACCATTCCAAATGCTTCTTTGGAACCAGTGCTTTACTTATACTTGGATCACTGGACTGAATTCACAGTATATTTGGTGTTAAATTTAAGTCTATCAGTGAATGTCACTCTTGATATATTGGACTCTACTTGCACTGGGTTGTCTTGTATTTTATAGTTTATTTATGTTTGTCTTGTTCTCTGTAATCCTTGTGTGTTCTGATACAAATTTTTCCCTCACTGATTTTACAGAGTATGATGCTTGTAGGAAGAGCATGAAAAAATATGCTATTTTTGGTCAATTTACAGATGAAATTAACTTGTGAGAACTACAGAAGGGAGAGCACTAGGTCTGGAAATAATTTGAAGGGGTTCTGGTAAAAAGGTACTCACCTTTCTCTTACTGTGCTGACGACTGAATCAAAACTTGTGCAATATATGTATGCTTAATATATAAGCATTTCTAGAAAATTTGTAATGCTGTTGCCTTCCACGTGTAAAGAATGTGAAGTACTCTACCTTAAATTTCATTGTGCTGTGTACACTGTCTGTGCTTATGATAAAATGTAGAGTTTAATTTAGCTTAATATTACTTTCAAATACAATTTTTCCAAAAAATTACATTCTCACCTTGTAAATTGTGTATGTCGATGGGTAGGTCAAGAGAGCAGAAGGGTTTTGCCTGCATGTACTGTTTTGAAATGTCAGGGGGACTTTAATTTACCTTCACAGAGATAGTTTGTCCTCAGAAATACCTGGTTGGGTGTTTCTATACTTATAAGTAAGAGTTTGCTGACTGATTTATAACCACCTATTTATTTGAAGAACAATAAAAATAATGGGGATGTTAGGGTTATGCTGTGTATACAGTGGTTTATACCTGAATTACCTTGGAAGTTTGTTATTTAGAATTAGAGGTGCTTTTCCTCCTCTTCTGAAAATATTTTTGTTTAATTTGTCATTAATTAATTTGGCTGGTACATACTGGAAATATTTCCATTTTGTCTGTGAAAAGCACTGCATTTTGTGTAAAATGCAGAATAACAAAGGGTAATGATGGCTTAATCTAAATTCTGCATGGTAGTAAAGTTAGTCTTTGGTTTAAGTTAAAATTGGTCCAGGTCCACTCAAAGAGGAAATTTTAAATGTCCTGTGATGAGAAACAGCAACAAATTTGGGTTTTAAATACATTCCTTTTTTATGGTTAAATGCCACAGTGTGTCTGATACGCCTTACAGCACGATACTAATTACTGAATGCGTTTATCTGAGGCTCATCCACTCACTGTATTGGACCTTTCCAGGTCAAATTTGAGGCCTTCTGTGTGTGCTCAAGGGTGGAACTTGCTAAATGTGCCTTTTACTGAGGCCACAGGAGAACTCTCCTTTTGCCTCAAACGTGCTGTCCACCCCAAATTTGCTAGAGGTGGCTTTGGAAAGTCTGCTGGGGCCCCAGCCCCTGCCTCCCTCCTGCTGCCTGGCTGCCCTGTGTGCTGTAGAAACAGCTCTGGCAGTGGTGGGAGGGCGAAGGGGGTGAGCTGCTGGAGGGGTGGCCATTTGGTTTGGACACGTGTCCTGGCACCCGGTTGGTGCTACGGCCCAGGGTAGGAACAGCAGCCACTCTGCGCTGTAACTTGGCTGCCTTCTATTTAAGGACTGCCCTGAGTCAGGAGAAGTGAGTGCCACTGGGGATGACAGTTGCTTCAGGCAACCCTGGGGAGGACAGGGTTGGGGGTAAAAATCACCGGAGAGGGCCTGAGCTGGGAAGGAAATGGAGGGCTCCCGTGGCGCCGAGTGTGATAGGGCATCTGAGACCTCGTCCTTCATAGGAGATGAAGAAGAAGAGGAAGAAGAGGAGGAGGAGGAAGAAGAAGAAGAAGAGGAGGAGGAGGAGAAAGAGGAGAAGACTGTGGACCCAGAGGAAGCAGAGGAACTGACTAACAGGTACTGTCTGCCTAGAGATTCACAGCCTCAGGGAGAGCTGGCAGCTCCACCCCAAAGCACCAGCCCCGGATGACAGGACTGGGGTCTTGTGCTATCTTCAGTGGTTTTCCCCCTTCCCGTACCCAATTGCTGCAGATAAAAAAAAAAAAAAAAAGGGGGAGGGAGGAGGCTATAATATTTCTTTTTTTCAAATGAGTATGGCTGTAATTAAGTTTTGTGCAGTAAGCGCCTACCCCAAGTTCCCTGAGAGCTTTTCTATTTAAAGATTCTCTGATGTGCCAGCTCAAGTGGCATCTCCTTCCACTCCTCCCCCTTTGGCTGACTCTTTGTCACATACAGATCTTAAATGCTCTGGAGATATGCTTGTCAGGGAGAAAATGCTCAAAGATTATAATGGTGCATTACAATTTGTTTCTTTTTATGGCCCTTTCTTCCTTCCCACTGGTCCCTCCCTCTTCAGTCTCATGTTTCCTAAAAAAGGAAAAATTTGTAGATGCTTGCCATTGCTGGTCATGATTTGTGTGTTTTTGGCTCATTTTTGTGGTGGAATAGGAAATATTCTACCACTTTGACTTTTTTTTTAAATACTTCTGTTTTGTTAATAACTCTTGTACTGATGCAGTTTGTTGTCCTGATATTGCTGTCCTACCATCAAGAAAATAACGAGCAAGGCAGAGGCCCAGTGCCCTGCCCAGTGTTCCTGTGCAGGATGTGTAGGTGTCTGCAACCCGACCCATGCAGACAGACTCCTTTGGCTGTACCAGCACAGTTGATTTCATAAAGAGACAATGAGGCTTGAGAGTCCCCTTGCACATAGCAGGTCTCAGTTCTTCCTTGTCTCAGGCAGAGTCCATCAGTTTTGAGTAGGTACTGTAGAAACAACACGTATTTTAAGAAATGGGTGTCATATAGTTCCTCAGTGCTGTGAAAGCGTCCTGCGTTTTCCTCCACTCTGTGTGTATCACAGTTCAAAGTACTTTCTGACGTTGGTGATGGTCACTGGGAGCAAAAAGATGGCAGAAGGGGGGTGGGGAACTCTGTGCAGCCTAATGCAACTGAAGCGCTGCAGCAACGAAAAACCAAATGGGGAAATGTAGTCAAGGACTGTAGGAAAAGTTCCTTGCATGGGGAACAGAGAGCTAGTTTTCCACAGCAGAGGGACATCCAGTGACAGCAGTGTAATGCTGCTTTATTGCCAAGGGTGGAGTTCACTTTTCAGTCCCATACTGGCAGAGGGGATATGTGCTGATAAACACTGCTTGCACTTGTCTGTAACTCTACAAGAAAACCAGACAAAGTTAATGGAGCAGAGCCACTCTCTGCGGACAGGTAAAACAACAGTCTAGATAATTTTTAATGGAATCCGCAATTAAATGGCTAATAATAAAACTCTAATTGTAAAACATAAGTAGGAACAGCTAAAAAGGGAGGGAGCCTCGCAGATATTTACTACTTGTGCTGGGAGGATGACTTCACCACAAGTGCCTGTTAGCAGCTCCTCTTAGCTGGGTCTTGCTTCTGTCTGGAAGCCTCTGCAATGCAAACTTGAGCAGTGAGTCTCACCACTTATTTAAATCACAGCAAACATTCCCTTTAGCTCTGTTGTTTAAACACAGCAGAAGTTTATCCTTAAGTGTCTTACTAATAAGAAGTTCAGACTCTACCAGAGCAGATTTTAGCAGCTTTGCTATGTGGTAATTGAACATATTTAAATCTATTTGATTAGTTTAACTAAGTTCAAGAAGATGTAAAATTTTGAGTTAGGCACAGATGTGGTAAGTGCACCAACTGCTCAGCAATAGCTTAGAGAAGTTAAATCAAACTGACTTTCTATATACTTGGGTGTTGTCACAAATATCAGCAGGGCTGTTGAGCTTCAGGCCTCCTCTTGTGCTCAGTGCCTGGGAGAGCTCCTGGCAAGAACAGCCAGGTTGAGCCCCTATGACATACTTACTCAGGCTGAACACTAATTATTTGTTGACAAACAGGTTTTCAAGTCCCCATTGCAGAACAGCTTTTTTTGTGTGCATGCGCTATGAAGACGTAGCTTAGAGGAGGTGTAACTAATATGCAAGCTTGGCTGAAGACAGACCATCCTGGGCTCTGCTGTCATCAATTTATTTTTAACAATGCCAATCTCTCTCTTGTTTTTGCCTTCCTCCTCCGTGTGCATTTGAAGAGCACCTGTTGTGCAATGTTGCAGTCAGCAGGAAAGTCCCCACTGGCTCCTATTTCCACCTTTCCAACATGTTAAATAGCCTTATACCCATTTTATATGAGTCATGCAGCAAGATGGCTGGCCCAAGGTCAGGAAGCACCCATGTGAAAGAAGCAGAAGAGCCCTGGTGTTCCTCTGGGACACCAGCCCCTGAGCCCTGACTAAACAGCTGCATTTCCACACTGTGCAGCAGCTGCAGCAAATAAAATCCCAGAAGCTGCAGCAGAACTTATGACTTGTCCCAAAATTATGATGCATGCACATAAAAGGCAGAAGAGTTTGGGTTTCACATCTTTATTATCCCTTTTAATGTAATGTTTAAATAATTTGGTTTCCTGGCATAGATTTTTATACAAGTAATGAGACTAACATGCAGCATCAGAACCTATTCAAACGATGGGATAAGGGCTTCACATCCTTGTCAGCATAAATAACTCACTGATCTGCACAGGGTTCTTGCAATATTTTCTTGCCTATTTTATTATCTGAGATAGAGGACATCGTGGCAGATGACTTCTGTTTCTATCTCTTTGTATCTAGTTAATCATCTTAACGGGGAAAATATTTTGAAAATGTGTGTTGCTTTAAGGCAAGCATGACTATGAAGTTAATAGGTTTTCATTTTTGTGTTGGTAATGGTGAGATTTAAGTCTATCAAAATTTGTTTACTGTTTAACTGGTTTACATACCTGTTGGAGTATCTGTCTCTAACCACTACATGGTGGGTGAGCTGTTCTGGCACAGTTCTGTCTCAGACTATTCCCAGCTGATTTCCTTTTGCAGTATGAAGGCCTCTGGTCTCTGGATGTGTCTGTGCACAGGGTTTACATAAAAATGGCTCTACAACCATTTTAGTGTTTCCAAATAGCTCATTTGCCTGGAATAGGTATGGGGTTCATTTTATCTGCTCATTTAGTGGTGATCTATAACCAGTAGATGGAGAGAAGTCCCAGAGTTCTGGAACTGTTTTTTATTTCTTTGTTATGTTTTGTTTTGTTTCGTTTATTTTGTTGGTGGTTGGTTGGTTGTTGGTTTTTTTGTTTGTTTTGTTTTAAATGAAGCAGTCCTTCCACAAGATCAGAAGTGTGTAAGCTTTAGAGCCAGGTTTAGTTGGAATGATTTGTGAAAATGGGTAGAAGAGAAGGCACAATGGAGAAGGGGTTTGCCTGCCTGCCACATGGGGATTGCTGCAGCATCTAGGAATGATAGTAAATGGGATGTGGGAAAGAAGGGGTGGGAAGGGGAGTGCTTAGGATTTGTCTTCCCAAGAAAAGGTTTACCATACCCTGTTCAAAGCAGAGAAAGATGTGGGGAAAGGGTGTGTGATTTTAGTTTCCTTGATGAGGCAGTGCCTGCCTTGGCCCTGGTTGGAAGGGGCCGGCAGGGCTGCTTTTCTGCCACATGCAGCAGGCACGTGGGAAGGGGAAGGTGAGGGTGCTGGGAACCAGAGCTGTGCAAGC